AAGGTACCTTTGAAGGAGATCGTCCTTACATACACATGTAGAAGGGAAAGTTTTTTTAAACTGCAATGGGACATTAAGTCATGGCATCCGTAATACCTACACAAGCGAATCTCTCCATTTTTGGCAACCCTGATTTGTTTTAGTGTTTAGTGGCGAAATTTATGAGGTGCTCATTTTACGTAAGTTTTCTATAGAGGAAAACTTTCTCGATATATGCCTCCTTAAATAAGCTGAGGACTACCGTGAGAATTCACGTTAAAATTTGCTTTGGGTTTCATTTTTCGAAAATTCTTCGGGCATGTATACCTACCATCTGAGATATATTCTACTATTGTTTTCTGCTTTTATGAATTTGTCTTATTTCTTTGTTACTTACCTCAAGTCTACTTTTAACAATTGTGCTACAAATGTGTTTGTTAGTTATATATTTTTTGTATAGAATGATTCCCAAAAATAATATTGGAAACAGTATATTACATTTCTGTCTTCTATTTCCTAAATTCATGCTTATGTTTGTTTTTCCACTTTTTCCCGCAATGGTAGTCCCAGAACTAAGGAGGTGCAGGAGGGCACTTGCCCGAGCGGCAGATTTTAGAGGGCGGCAAAATTTGTAAAGTTTATAAAAAAATAATAATTTAAATTATTCAAAATAGTAATATTACAATTAACACTGTTTAATATTATTTTATTTTATTGCAAATATAGTTTAATAACACTGACATTATCTACCAAATTATTATCTTCATTATGATCAAGATAGATGTTTTGCAATATTAGATGCGGTCGAAGTTGTATATAAACATTACTGTAAAATTCTACGGGTTCTAAAGGATCTTAAAAACTATGATCTCTCCGCAGCTCAAACTATTAGTAAGTGATGACTGAAACCACACATTGGCCAAACGTCTTCTTTTTTAAATAATTTGGCATGTTGATCTTGAAGATGTCTGATAGAGCTCCATATGCGGCCCATGCTAAAGTGATTCCTCTTTGCAGTTCGGCAGTTTGGTTGTCGTTAGCAATTTTAATTTCATGACCTTAGTATTTATATTTATGAACTAATCCTATTTCGTTGCAGTCGACTTTTGGATTTTCGCTTGGTACCAGATTTGTCATCTATTCTGTCTTTTCAAATTTTAAAAGGTAGTTCAGATTACCTATTAATGTAATTTATTATTATAAATAATTTTGACATTTTCTAACCATTCTATTTTCTAACCAAAAATAGAAAGGAAGTTACAGACATTGCAATATATTCAAATTTCTAGAGCATTTTAATATCAAAATGGCATATGTCTAAGGAAAAGAGCTGCTTAGACTATAGACACATTAGATGCACCTTAGAGAGGAAAGCCGCAAAAGTCACTTATCGGAGTCCACTTACAACCAACTGGGAGGCTTATGAAGTTTTAGATCAGCATCTGTCGAGAATTAGGAGAACAATAAATGACGCCACGTATTTAGAAATGGCAGTGAATAATCTAAATGACTCTGGTATTTTAGCATTTCAAGAAACCTGCCCTCTAACGAAAAGGGAGTTTCGCCAGAGATACGCCATGAAGAAATAAATACTGTCTTAAGGAAAAGGACGAGAAAGCTATTCAATGGAGGTAAAGTAACTGGGGAGTAGGGAGAGTATAGAAAGACAAGGACGAAACACTATACAGCTATAAGGCCAAGAGAGATATATTAAAGAAGCTCTGTGAAGAAATTAGAAGCACCCATACTTGTGCTAGACTTTAAAAGGTACGATCAAAAGAGAAAACACATCCAATTAACTCACTCCTAAATAACAAGGGCGAGTATACACATACAGGAAGAGATATGGCTGAAATGCTCTTCAGAGTCCTCTTCCCTGGATCACAAGGTAAAGGTATTAAAAGCACTCATACTTGTGCTAGACTTCAAAAGGTACAAAGGAGAAAACACAAACAATTAACTCAAGCCTAAATGTCAATGTACTGGGAATCAGTAGGCAACGAGGATCTGCAGAGGTCCTTAAGAATAACTGGCAGATAGTCAAAAGATTGTAAACTATGAAAAAGTAGCATGGGCAATAAACTTATGCGAGCTCTATAAATAACCAGGAATATCTTCATTTCTTCTGACTGTTCTGGTCTATCAATTTAAACTACTATCAATTTGTGATTTTACTGGCAATGTGCTTATTCATAAGTATTTATATTAGTTTTTCTTGTCGTACTCTATCAAAATCTTTTTCGTAGTCAACAAAGAACAAAGTGTAGGTCAACGTTTACATCACGACATCTCTGAATCAGTATGTTGATGACAAATAGTCCTTCTCGAGTACCATTCCATTTCGGAACCCAAACTGCATTTCACTTATCTCCTTTTTTAACTTTTCATAGAACCTCTTATGTATTAGTTTAAGCAGTACCTTTAACGTATGACTCATGAGGCTTAGTGTTCGATAGTCAAAGCACACTTTTGCTGCTTGATTTTTTAGGGATGGTTATAAACGCTGATTTCAGACACTCTTGCGGTATTATTCCCGTATCGTATACCGCGTTGAACAAATCTGTCAATACTTCTAAGTTATCCTCTTCCATTAATTTTAACAGTTCTACAGGTGTTTCGTCTAATCCAGCTGACTTATTATCTTTAGAGTTTTTGTTAGCATATTTGATTTCATCTGTCATGATCTTCTGTCTCTTTAAATGATTTAATTCTTGTTTCCCCTGAATTTTACCTTTTTCATCTTGGAAAAGTTTTCTAACGTACTCCTTCCATCTTAGAGGGTAGAAATCATACGATTTCTACCTGGCGAAATCGAATTCAAATATAAGCCGCCGTGCTCCCTAAAACTTGCGAAGCAAACAGCTTGATGAATGAATCGGCAAGGGAGTCTAAAAGTTGCACTCCAAATGCCATTCATCATGGCCTATATTCGTAGTGAATTCGATTTCTGGTACTCCAAATGAAGTAAATAAACAAAACAAAATGACGGTATTAGATTTTGATTTGATACAGAGCAGCAACAAGCCGCATATACGTATTTCGATCTCTTTAGATCTCCTCAGTACGGTATAGCTACTACTCCATATCAAACCAAAATATTTTCCCGTCGTAGATTATAGTTATTAAAAATAACTTACATATACTTACTTAATAACTTAAAAATAAATACCACCCTTAGAATTGCCAACTAAAAGCATTGCTATTAGCCTACAAGTTCGTGACCAAGTAAGTCAATTAAAAAAAATAACAGCCAAACAGCTATTGGATATAATAATAAACATATAATACAAATAGACTGACTGTTGCAATACAGTGCAATAGTTAGTTTATTTGTATTATATGTCTATAATGATAATAACAGCTTACTATAATATTTTTTGAATACTATTTTCGGAGTGAAAAGATTGCATAACAATAAAATGCAATTTTCATTACAATCAATAATTGTGGCAAAATCTCAAATATAAATAATAATACTTAACTTAGACATTCCCCAAGAAAACAGTTTCAATGTTCTTGCATCCTAACATAATGCCACTCGCTATGTACTTTTACATCTGTATGGAACTAATATTCAATAATATTTGCTTTTTGTTGTGTAAAACAAATTTTTTCTTAATTTTCTCAGAAAAATTTCAAGAATATATGTTTAAACTTTGGTCAACATTGACAATGCATCATAAATGTGATGCCATTAAACAAATATCGTGGTCACTAATGTCCCAACAGGCTTTATTTATAAATAATTTCACAACCAATTCCAATTACGATATTTTAATGGCTTTATATTTTAAGTTTTGTGGTTTCCTTTAAATTACAGTACGTATAATATACTCATTTAGAAGTTTTTCAAAGTATTCGTTTCATTTATTTGGCATTATTTTTGATATTAAATATTGAATCGCACTTTAGTTTGGGTCTCTATATGTACCTTTTTATCGGTATCGTTTTTTTTTATTGAAACATTTTAATATTTTTTCTATATTTCTTGTTTGATTTCATTTCCCCAGCAATATGGCACTCTTCTTGGTATATGAGAATTTCTGTTGCTATTCCTTGTAAGTATTTTGATATAGCATTACTGTCCTTTATTATTATTACTTTGTTTAATTTACAAATTTTTGCCCAGTCTCCTACATAATTCTCTTATGTTTTTTGTGTCATAAATTGTTTAAGTTGTTTCTCTTTATGATTAGATTTTTCAATTCAACGTGTATCTTCAGTGTTAGTGAATACAGTGTTGGTTCCCGATTTTGTTCCTTCTGAATTTTTGTTCTCTTTTTGTGTTGAGGAAAGGGACATTCATAACACCATCTATCTCTAAAGCAAATTACCCTTTATGTGACTGTTGTAACTGTAGTATAATCGAAGCACATTTTGGTAGCTTTTCCTAAATATATTCATTAAAAGCACAGTCAGTCAATACTCGACAATATGAAAGAACTTTTAGAATCTAATTGTTATTTTAAAAACCTATTTAAAAGGACATTAACAATATAAACAATTTGTAAATAAGTTTCATGTTTTATAGGTCGTAGTATTAAGTTCAAGTTCAGTTTCTAAAAGACACAAGAATATTCAATAAATTTTAATTTATAAATATGTTGTAGTACATACCTACCTACTTGTCAACTATAATTTTTTTAATTTTTTTAATTTTTTTTATTTTTTTTTAATTTATTATTATTTTTTTTTTATAGTAACTTTAAGTGTATATTACTTCACTGATATAATACTTAATTTGTAATTAACAAGTGTATATATCACCCCGCTAATATTTCTCGAGTAGTAGATGCGGTTAAAAAATAATAATAAAGGGCTCTAAAGAACAAACAGATCTATATAATGAATATTATCTTGTATAAGCTGTAAAAAATAAAACTAAAACTAATGCTCACTTAAATATAAAAGAATCTTGGCAAGCTATAAAAATATTAAGCTACCTTCGTCTTTCCATAATTTTGGCCTATGGCGCACTATCTTACTTTTGATATCAGATCTTGATTTAAATTCTTTTTCAGGCCGATACCAAATTGCCGCATTACCTGGCCACGGCGAATATAGATATCAACGAATCTCTAGAAAATCACAGTAATTTAGAAGAAATGAATAGAAATTATAAAAGTCAACACAAACTAAATGACAGTTTTTCGAGAAAATCCAAAAACGAATCACCAAGTGGAATTGACAATCCAGCATTTGTAGAAGATGTAAAAAGCACTTTTAACAATGATATGCCATATAGTAATGGATTAGGTAAGGTATTTTAAGTATATTGCCTTTATGTTTCTTGATTATATTAAATAGTTGTGTAATGTTTAGTTAACCGATTTTATATTCATTCATTTCCTTGTTTTATACTAATAATGAAAAAAAAATACCAGTTCCAGATCCAACAAAGTCTAACAATCACGAACCCGTAACGGAAGCAGTCAATTTAGAGCTGATAAACATGAAGCCAGGTAGTGCCATTCATAACGGCCTCAAGGGTTACGATACCGCCGGAATGACTACTATCCCTTTGAAAAAAGAAGACGAAGACGTTCGGAATCCTTACGACGAGTATTTCGTGCCGGTGAATGAACACAGGAAGTTCATGAGGTAAGTGTAAAATAAAACAGTGAGTAGTTATCTAAATTATCAATACTGTGTGATTATGTTTTAGGGGCGAAAAGTTATATCTAACAAAAGATAATAGAGTGGAAAAGAGGAAAAATAAGTGGATTTGTTGGACACTATGTATCATTATAGTAGCTATAGCTGTATTACTTGGAATTTTGGCAGCAAGTAAGTTTACGTAACTTTATGTTTGTGCTGCTATCTCTTCATACAATGTTTTACAAAACTTCACGGGATACTCTTTAACATGTTTGAACAATAATAATAAATATCATATAAACACTTGTTTTTTACTCCAATATTTTTTCATTATATCATACTAGGTATCTACTGCACGTGTTTTAATTTATGTTTCCAAGATGTGTTTCATCATATAAATACTATTGAAAAACGAAACAACTTATCCACAATTTATACGATAATATATGTTTTAGCTGGCATCATAGGTCATCAAACAGAATTACCTCAAGCAGTAGAATCAAGTGGCAGAAGTTTCGATAACAACACACCAATAGAGAAAGGAGGTTTAAGTATACCAGGAGTCAAAGAAAAACCACCTTTAACGCCTGAACCGCCTTTATCCACCGTTGGTTCGATGTTACCGACCACTGATGAATCTCAGATTATAGGTGAGCAAGTAGTAGTAGAAATAGTGAGTAGTAAAACTTAGACTCTTACAACTTAAAGTTTGTATTAATAATTTTAAGATTAAATACTATTTATTGTATTATATTGTACACCAAATAATGTAATATAAATAATACAGACCGAAAATGTTGCCAATAATATAAACAAAATAATTCCTGTTTCAGTTCCTCGAGTTCTAGAATCCGAATTTAAGATTGACAACCTAGATTTTAACCCAGATATGTTTGATAAGACAAGCACTGAATATAAGGCTTTATCTGAAACGTTAAAAAGACAGATACAAGAATCTTTGCTGTCTGATGAGAGACTGAAATATGCACCTGAGAAATTTGAAGTGAAAATTATGGAATTTATGTAAGTGCTACTAGTTTTTTAGATTATAAAAATTTAATTCTTATACATAACTTCTGTTTTAGGCCTGGTAGTGTTATTGTCAAATACAGAATCACTTGGAAACCAAGACAACGCCCTCAAGATGAAGAAACTGCTACAACAAATACTGCAGACCCTATAGATGAAAACTCTCTTAGCAGAATTATATCAGAACAACTAAAATCAAATAATGATCTTATGGGCGAATACCACATTCCAGAAACGTCAATCAGATCTCAAAGAATACTTGATCAGTGCAAAATACAAAACAATGGCTGTGAACATCTTTGTATTTTCGATTATAATAACTTGGATTTTCTGTGTGTCTGTCCTGATGATAAACATCTTAGTTCAGACGAAAAACACTGCATAGATAGTATACCGATTATTTCTGAACTAGACATGCCCAATTTAGAAAACGAACCAGACACCAAAGCCGAACCAGAACCCTTACCCGAACCTGAACCTCAACCCACACCCGAACCTGAGCCTATATCAGAACCTGAGCCAAAATCAGAACCAGAACCTACACCCGAACCTGAACCCAAAACAGAACCAGAACCTACACCCGAAACTGAACCTAAAACAGAACCAGAACCTACACCGGAACCTGAACCCAAAATAGAAACAGAACATACACCTGAAGTCAAAGCAGAACCAGAGCCAAAAGCCGAACCTGAACCCACAGCTGAACCAGAATCTAAAGCAGAACCGGAACCATCACCAGAACCACAACCAGAACCTACAATTGAACCGGAAATTAAAACAGTAAACGTGCCAGTATCTGAGTGGGAACATCAAGCTGAGCCTGAACCAAGTTCAGAACCAGAAGCTACGCCAAAACCAGAACCTGAAGCTACAGAAATGGAAAAGATTTCACGACTGGAACTTGAATCTAAAACTGAAGCAACATCAAACGAAGAAATTAATGATGAACATACACTTAAAATAGAACGTATTCCCAAAGTAGAACAAGAAACTCAACAAGACATCGAACATATGAGAAGTTTCTACAATCAGAGTCCTACACACTCAGACGTTCACGTCGTGGAAATGCAGACTTCTTTACCTACTACTACAAAGGATTATTCATCCGATGTTATAATTCCACTGTCAGATAATGATGACAATCACGTTTCTGATGAACCGCAAGTAACTACTAAGAAGTCGCTAGATTCCGTGGATAACGGTAGGCATAGTACTATTATTAATTTATTTTTTTCTCTTTTTAATGTTTTAATACTGTAGATAACTATTGAAGATTCATATCATATCGAAAAAATCTTCTTTTTTGACCTGTTACAGATATCATTATATGATTATGTCCTGAGTTTATATTTCGTGGTTCTTCATATTCAGGAAAACTGAAAAGATCAAGCGTCTTATGAGTCTGATTTGGGTATACGGTTATTTTGCGGCTTTTCAAAATTAGTTGTCAATGACCCTAGATACACAAATTGGTTAAAAATGAAAATATTGTTGAATTCTAAAAGACAAGAACGAAATTCTGAGCCATAATGTTGTGTTTATATTAGGCCTTAGGTCTATTCTTGTTCAACCTTAAGGGTGTAGTCGTATTTGTAATTCTCTTTCGCTATCTTTAACAGAGTCTTCCGGGCGATCTTTTGCGCGTTTCCTGTCTTTTCCATCGTACAATATCCTGTTTTTCATACACATATTTAATTTCGTTATTTAGTTTTCTTGTTTTCCCACCGCTTGATCACCAGATTCTTATTTCTGACGTTCCAAGTACTATGTTTCTGCTGTATATCTGCTCTAGTTTCTATCGCATATGTTATTATTTATCTTACACATATTTTAGAAATTTAAAATCAATTTGAAAACCTACCACCCTCTCTATTTCGGTTTCTATAGAAAATCTAAAAATAGGCAACATATAAGGGGATATTTTATAGGCTGGTTTTCAATTAAATTACATTCACCTTTTAAGAGGGGCGGACATAACCTCTAAAATCTTTAATTGAAAAGGGGGTTGAGTAATACCTTATTTTACAGGTCGTTCAAATGTCTTTTTAAAAACAATAATTTACATAATGAATTTTAATTTTTTAGTATTTTTAGAGAAATCAAGTTAAACGGTGAAGGTATTTAAATATTAAGTTTTATGCAATAGAATATAAAAAAAGAGTAAAAAGTAATTTATTTTATTAAATTTTGTAATGTAACACTATGGGACAGAGCTAGAAGTACAGATAAACGACGTAGATGCAAAGTGGAGAACATCAAACACTGGTTAGAAAATAAAAGAGTAGAATGGATTGATTATATAAGCCGAATCACAACAAATAGAGTAGTAAGGACGGCAAGACACAGTTTCTCAATAGGAAGACGATCAGTAGGAAGACCATGAAAACGAGGGAACGATAACTTACTCGGGGCACATTGAAAAATGGACGGAGTCATGTCTACATAAAAAGAAGAGAAAAGAGAAAATTTTGAAATGCTGTCCATTATTTCCTAAACAGAGATAAAGTCTGCTCTCAGCGTCTGCTCTTAGCATATATTATAACGTTCCTTAAAACTGCCTGAAGTTATCTACACTCAGCTCTTATTCTTCTCTTCAAATATTCCAAACATCGAGGCTATGTTTCATAAACAATCGACTTTAGATGACTCCGTAAGAAAAATCTAGAGGCGATAAGTTGGGTGATCGTGGTGGTCGTTATATTACTCCTATTTGATCGGTCCATTTGTCATAAAATCTATCATTTAATTACTGCCTAATTGTAAGAAAGTAGTATGGTGGCATTCCATCTTGATGTAAGTAAATAAGATCTTGTAAAATCATGTTACTACCTACATAAACTTGATTTTTCCAGTAAATTTAAGTAGAGCTCACAAGTTATGTTGTCTTTAATGAATATAGATCCAATATTAGTGTTCACAAGAATATCAGCCCAAACGTTCTATTTCTCTGGACACAGTGTACGAAATTTTCTAAAAAGTCGTGAATATGCATCGCATCAGTATCGAAAATTTTATTATTACTATGCCCATTAAGAGAATATAAAGCAAATATTGTGCAAAATATTCTGGGTTTTATTTTTTAAATCCGTCATTGTTTTACAAAATTCAATCTTTCTGTCGATATTGTTCTTTACAATATTTAGCAACTAATTCCACGACATATTTATGAATTAAATTACTATTGAGATATCTTTCATTAAACATTGCTGCTGTTCTTCTTACGTATCTTGGACATTTCGCCTAAATAAAAATCATTTAAGTTCTTTGTTGAACTATAAACACAAATTTTTAAAATAACTTACTCAGCGTACAACCTTCAATTCACACAACTAATTTGACAAGAATGTCAATAATAATATAATTGATCATTATCATCATCATCATTGGTGCTAGTCCTATAAAAGAGCCTCGACCTTCCCAAGTTAATCACGCCAGTCAGTTCTATCCATTGTCAACTGTTGCCAGTTTGCTGCGCCTATTTTTCTACCATCCTCATCTACACCATCCCTCCATCTGAGTTTTGACCTACCCCTACTTCTACTTCCCATAGGTTGTGACAAGGATTCTTACAGAAGGGTTGTTCTGATATGATCTTGCAGATGTCCTGCCCATTTTAGTCTTCGTATTTTTATAAGAGATACTACGTCTTTACCGCCAAATATATACTTATATCTGTGATATATCTCCTAGTTGTACCTCCTTCTCCAAACAACCATTTTTACAAATGCCACCGAATATTCTTCTCAGGATCCTTTGTTCACATATAAGTAGGAGGTTTTCATCTGCCTTGGAAATGTCTCCGATCGATATGCCGACACTGGTTGTATAAGGGTTTTGTATATGGTTATTTTTGTTTTTTGGATTAAGTTTCTGCTTCTCATATGTCTACTTAATCCAAAATAGCATTTGTTTGCTAGGATTATTCTTCGCTTGATTTCTTCCGTCCTGACGATCCCAATACACCACTCTTTCGGGATTTGTTCCTCATTCCAGGCTCTCAGTATGATTTTATTTATATGGTTAGTCATAGTAGCATTTCCACATTTAATAAGTTCCGCGGGTATACCATCACTTCTTTTAGCAAAAGATTTAATCTTTAACACATTTTGCATAGCGCAGAGAATACAGAAAACGATATTTTCGTTCACGGCCGCCAAAGCAGATGGCGCCTTTGTACGCTAACAACTGTTGTAGCAGTTGTAGTTACGATACACTTACACGTGTAAGTGTATCGTGGTTGTAGTGAAGTTTTGGAAGACATTCGTTGAACTTTCTGAGTTTGAATTTGTATCAGCCCAAGTGTCTGTTAAGGCTGGTATAGGCCGAAATGATCATACATAATACTTTATTGATACCGATTCGAGCATGGGAAGTTTAACGAATTTGTCCTAGTCCATATATTTGTCCATATAATTTCATATATACTGGGTGATCATTAAGTAATTGTACAAAAAGAAACTGTAGATTCTACACTTTAAAATATTACGATTTAAGCTAAATTGCTTTAATAAAATGTTGATATTAAGGGAGATACAGGGTGTTAAAGAGAAAATTTAAAATTTTATTTTTCGCTATAACTTTCATGTTTGTGAACATTTATGTACAAAAACTTACAACTGGGTACTATTGAATATCAGGAATTATAATTTAATGCATACTTTGATGTAGCTCATAGAGGGCGCCACATATGCCACACATGTGACATACATTTACACTTAACTTTTTTGCGGTTCAAGTTATCGGTATTTTTGATAAAAAATAATAAAGATACATTATTTTAACAAAAAAGAGGTATACTTATTAATAACTTTAAAACTTAACAGTTTTCGAGATAAACGCATTTTACAAATCAACTGCATACTTCTGATTTAACGTAATTACTCCAGACAACGAAAGAAAATTAGAGAAAAACATCAATACTTCTGAATTATGGTATAAAATACCTTTAATAAAGTTATTAGTTAACGAAATATTAAATAAATTAAATATATCAGCTGGATAATTAATAATAGGATTTGACAAAATAACTAAATATTTGGATCTCACATCAAACATTGTACGTTTTATATTAAATTAGTCATAATCAAAACATTTTATTTACAAACCAAATTAAGAAATAGTTAAACTAAATAACATTAATCTTTGTGTCAAAGTGAGTGTTCGATATGTCCACCATTTTCTTTACCACGACATACATTTTAAACATGAATTTTAAATAAACGTATGATTTGGAACCATTGGTAATTATTTTTACGGACATGCCAATTAACTTGTAATTTGAATGGTGAGATTTATTTTCATTTTTTATAAAATCATTTTATTGATATACTGGAAGAATGGTCATCAAACTTAAGGCAAAATATGTGGTTTATGCAATATTCTTAAATACATCTTTCCTGAACGTTGGATTGTTCGTGGTAGTCATATTCCTTGATATTGTGGTTAGATATTAATATAATTATTGAATTTATAAAAATCCCAAAATAATACTTATTGTGATACTTATAAAACTTATAATAAATACTTTTACAGTAACAATTTACAATAACAACAGTTTCTTTAGAAACAATGATGCTATTTAATATGAGACGATATTTTATGGAATGTATTGACAAATGAACTAGTACTATATATTTAGCAATGTCACGTCTTCATTTAGCAAATTTAGCAAGTGTCTATATCAAAATATCCACGTTTTATTGCGGAGTAAAACATACATTTCCAAGAATACGTGTAAAATATTATTTTATTCTTAATCCAACATAATGTAATTTTATATAAATAATATGTGTTTATCTAATTCATATACTGTTCTGTCGATATTTACTATTTAATTATATTGATTTACCACAGAAATAGTCTCAACAGTTTCTGTCAATAATAAACGCATATGTTTAAAGAAACATTGCTAATAAATATCATCATATGACATTGCCAATAAAAATTGGTAAGTTAATCTATAATTCTCGCGTGTTGTGATAATGTAGTACTCATATATGCTATAAAAATTATACCTCGTATAAAAAAATTATAATAACCCGATTTAGGAGTTAGAGGGCAAAGCTAGAGACATTAAGAATAAAAGGGGATAACAGAATATGAACCGAGGCAAGAAAACAGCGGAAACCAAAAAGAAGCGGGAGAAGCAGAAATTAAGTCTCCAACCAGGGAAAAGTGGCAAAAAATACAAACGACAAATAATTGCAAAGCTCCAGGTGGAGTGTCTGTTGTATAGGAACTGATAAAACATGAAGAAGAAAGCAAAAATTAATAAATATACAAACTAAGGCAACAAATATAGATACAAAACAGAATATCTAAAAAATGGAATGCTGGAATCAGTATACCCATTTACAAAACATATGAAATATAACTATTATGAAATGTGAAAACTACAGCATGCTTATATAAAAAGTATATACCTATACAAATTATTGACAAATATATTAAAATAAGATAATTCTAATAAGATGTCAGAACATTTTGGAAATATAAAAGAGAATCCCAGGTAGTATTTATTGACTTTAAAGCGTTTTCGGTATTATAAAGAGAGACAATATAATGCAATCATTACAAGAACTACAGATATTAAAGAAACTGACAAATAACACTAGAAGAAACAAATACAAAGGTGAAGTTTAAAGAAGAAATAACAGAGAACTTTAACACAAATCAAATTGTAATGCAAGGAGGCCCTAATTTCCCCAACAACCGGATATATTCCGGCGTCAATTGTATCTTTAACCATGTTTCAAGTAGCTAGTGTCGATGCACAGTATCCTAGGGGAAACGACGTCTTTAGGTATCCTTCGAAACACAGTGAACGGCTCTTATCATTTCTCGAAATGAATATGTCGTTTTTGGTGCCGAGATGCGCTCTGGCTTATGAAGCCAGTATCCGTCCACAGCTGTAACCAGTCGTTATTACTAACCTGCTAAAGAAGACTAAAAAGAAACAAAGAGAGGACAAGAGTTAAGAAGAAAAAATATAGTGAATGTAATTAAATCACAACGCTTGGAAGGGATAGGGCATATTTATCATTAAAAGATACCTAGTTAAATGAGATGATCAAAAAAGTTGCGAGATGGACCCAAATTTAGCGAAGAAGCTAAGAAAGATCGAGAATAAGGTTATACGATGACATAGAAAGCGACACAAAATCAAGAAAATAATCAATGAAAAGAAAAAGGCAAAAATAGAAAGAAATGGAGGCAGATAACGAAATCAGCCCAGAAATACACTAAATTGTTACCAAAACAGAAAGCAAGAGGACTAGTCCATTTCAAAATAGAATAATACGCGAAAGCATGTTATTATCCTAAGGGATTGAACAGGATGAGGATGATGAATATATTTTTTCGTTTCGTTGCCTATCATTATTTGTTTTAAAGCTGAGAAAATTCTCGGCTATTGTTTTATTAAGGAGAGTTGAGTTGGGCGATGTGTTGTAATGATACATTGTTTACCGGGCTATTTATAGCCTTCCTGTACCTTCCAAGTTCTGTCACTAGATCTCAATCGGTATTGGAATTTTTTCGGTGCACAAACGAATCTCAGCCCTACGATATGCGAAACCTTTAACCAAACACATCCAAAATTCCTTTGGGAAGTCCATTCGGTGTATATATAAATAAACACTGAAAAAAAAATAATTCGATTAAAAATTTTATAAAATTTTGTCTGTCTGTCCATGAGTTAAAGCAGCTAAGACTGCAAAGGATTTCGGAATCTAATATGATATCTAATCTAATAAAACTCATGACGATTTCGGATTCAGAAATAAAAGTTACAGGGAAAAAATTATAAAACCGGATGGTTTTACTATTATTTTACTAAAATGAGAAAAAAATTCCAATAATTATTATTATTTAGAGATTTTAATTTAATAAAAAATGATTATCCATTGTCAACTATTAAAGAAGATTCTAAGGAGGATTTGAAGAGAATAACAAAACCATATGATAGGATAGGAAATAAAAATATCACAAAATAAAAAAAACTAACAAACTGAGACATATCCTCTTCAAAACCAAACCCAACAACACAGGAGATATCAAAGAACTGCATTTATTAAATGCCATGCGCAGGCAACAATTTTTATCTGGGAGAAACTTTAAGGCCACTAAGTGTTAGAATAAATAAACATGAATCATTTATCAAAAACTAGACTTTAACCGTTGATTGAATTTATATATAATCTTTAACAGATATGCTCAGATAAGCAAAGATGTCTGGGATAATGAGCACACAATAAATATTATAAAATCATTTATAATATTTATTATAGAATGTTTTTTAACACGATTTTCGGATTGAAAATCGAAATCTCAAAGCAAAATATAAAATGTAATTCTCATTACATTAATCGTTGCTTCGGCACTATTTTAACGAAAATAGTACTTCTACTAAATTCTTGATTAAAGAACTTCTTATGGAGAATGATATATTTTTTAAACAAATTTACACAAAAAACAGTTGGTAAAACTTTTAAAGCTCGTCCATTTTACACCTGAATTTGTTATACACAATATGGCCAAGAACCACGGATATAAAGTTTTACGTTTACCACCCTTCTATTGTATACTCAACCATATATGACTATTATAGTCACAATTAAAAAATATTTCTAGTGGAAATAATTTTTGTCCACTTCGCCTGTAATTAATGTACTAAGAAATTCGTTTAACCATTTAAGTATTGACAATTGGAAAAATGTTATGGAGAATATAAAAAAATTTAATTTTTTTTTTAATTTTTCACTTGCATATTATTTGGTTATTTTAGCTTGAATACGGTTACCATAAACACACTTGTTATATCCTAGGGCATAAATATATATATATATATATATATATATATATATATATATATATATATATACATATCAGATATACTTCAAATATACTTGTTTGAAGTAGTCGATGACAGTTGTTGATCATCATCATCATTTTGGCTTTACAACCCTGTGTGGGTCCTAGCCTCCCCAAGAATTCTCTTCCAGTCGTCCCTATCCATCGCCTTCCTCCGCCAAGCACGTATTTCCATATTTCTCATATCTTGGTCTATGTTATCTAGGAATCTTGTTCTGGGTCTTTCTCTTTTTCTTTGACCAATAGGTCTATCAAGGAGCGTTTTTCTAGCTGGGTCGGTTTGCTCCATCCGCATTACATGGCCTACTCACCTCAGACGTCCTATCTTAATGTGTTTTACGATATCTGGTTCCTGGTATATTCTATAGAGTTCGAAGTTGTATCGTCTTCTCCAGACACCATTTTCATTTACCGCTCCATAGATTCGCCTCACTATTTTTCTTTCGAAACATCCTAACATGTTTTCATTGCTTTTTGTTAAAGTCCAGGTTTCTGAACCATATGTTAGGACTGGGCGTATTATTGTTTTGTAGAGTTTTACTTTTGTATTTCTTGATATAGCTGTAGATTTAAAAAGGAGATTAAGTCCAAAATAGTATCTATTAGCCGTGCAAATTCTGCGGTTTATCTCTGCGGTAATGTCAGTTTCAGTATTGACGAGCGTTCCCAGGTATACAAATTCGTTAACTGCTTCGATGACGTCGTTTTCTATAACAAGTGGCCGTCGTATTTGTGGTTGCGGACCAATACTTTCATGTATTTCGTGATAGTTGTTGATAGGTTGTTGATATATTATGTTCAGTTATGGATTTATGTCATTTATTTATATTAAGTTATTAAACAAATTATACTTTCATGATTTATAAAGATTTTTAATGTTAAAAAATGTTGATTCTATAATATTTGCTTTTTTTCTTATATAACACTACTTTATAAGCCATAACGGTTATTGTACCCTAGAATATAACAAGTGTGTTTATGGTAACCGTATCCAGGCTAAAATAAACAAATAATATGCAAGTGAAAACTAAAAATTATAATAAATATCGGCGCAGTTAGACAGTTGTTTCAAACTATGAAAATCCCTTATTGCATTTATTTATTGTGTTAGCATATATCATATTGTCAGTTGTAATATATTTTTTTTTTTTCGAAACTAGCATTTGAAATTAATATTTTTCAAATATATACCAATGGTATTCTTACTGTTTTACTCGACCGACGCCGACTTTAGGGCCCGGTTGTCAGATCTTTACGCTTTCTAGATTATCTATTAACGGACTATACGTACATTTTTAGGAATCCCTCTAGAGTCACGGACGGAAAAAGCCACAGAAGAACATCGAAGTTTCTCAAAGGATAGTTCAGACTCAGAAAACTTCTTCCTAAATCCTGTACTAGCAGATTCGATAACCACTACCACTTCCACTGAAAGTTCTGGCGAAGAAACTCAACCAAAGGAGAACAAGAATATTAATGAGCACGATATATTTAATAATACAGATGAATCAAGTAAGTTATTAACTTATGTGTTGTAACGATAATATTTTGCCTACCTCAGGTTAAGATTATGGGGGTAAAGACAGGACAAGCAAAATAAACGCTACTTGTGCGAACGGCATTCAGTATATAATTAATAATATAATTTATATTAAGTATAAAAACAAAAACAATGGTTATTTGCAAGAACAGAAATGTGAATACTAACATCAAAATTTACAACAAACAAATATAACATGTAGAAAAGTTTCTGGTATTTGGGATAACGAAAGAGTTGTATCCCGAAACATAAATATATTGCAGAATAGAAAACGTAAAAATGCATTTGAAACATTTGCTAACGAACCCCACTCTATCCTTGAAAATTTGATGTATACCTTAGATTTATATATATATATATATATATATATATATATATATATAAATATATATATATATATATATATATATATATATATATATATATATATATATATATATATATATATATATATATATTGATATAAAATTCATACTCAAATATCTTCAAAAATATCTCATATAATGATTCTCAAAATTTTGTTCTACGCACATGAACCTTCAAAAATTAATGGTACATACGATATAAATTAAAAATTTTAAATCAAAATTGCTGTTCTATATCTCCTGATCAAAATATTCCTATCTTTTCTAAAGCAATTGTAAAATTGTGTTGTTAATTAAAGAAAAACTGATGCATAGTAAAACTATCTCTCTGATGATGAGTTGTCCAAATCCATGTTCCTTGTAGCTTACACTATATATTCTTAGCAGTCCCCTAGGTAATCAGCAATCTTACAACAAATTATTGCGAGCCTATCGTCTTTAATGATCTCCTTCAAATGCACGTATCGTTCAAATTATGCTCGCCTCTTCTCCTCTCGATAAACTGAATCTCTCGTTCTGGCCTGAACAGTGACTCTTGGAATATAAGTAGAAAAATATAACTTACAATATTTTACTGGATCAGCTACTGTCAGATACACTAACTCCACGAAACTCACAAACATTTACTTCTGCTGCTTCCTACCTCTGGGAAACCACCAGAGAACAACGACTATTAGCGATAACGCTAATCCCCTGCATCAACTAGTCTAGAACAAACAAGTAGGCCAAATGCATTAAACTCCATATTTAAAATTTCTTTCATTGTTTGGTCTCTTACGGGAGGGTTATCATTTAAACTCATGTTAACTTTTTCAAATTTACCGCCCTTAAATTAGTGGGTTGGTATTATTAACCTTGCTGTTCTGTCGATTAATTTTCGACCTCAAGGCTGGCTGTCTGTTTCATGTCATTGACTCGGTACCTTTTAATTTAACGCCATTTCAACTGCAACAGGTGCCAAGCAAACAGTGGTAACTTAACTTTATATCTTTTTTATACATATTTTTTATATCTTAATGTAGTTAACTTTAATAATGCTACCAAAAGTTAAGATGAAGTTAAAATAAAAATTTTTTTGCTTAGTTGGAAGTGAATCAATGATTTTCTTAGTTCTGCTTCACTAGTTAATATTATATTAAATATTATATGCTTATTACACCACGTGTTCTGTTGCTTTGCTAATTTTTACTAAGTCTCTTAATGTTGTTAGTTATTTAATTGTTTATACAATATCACCATACGATGTCCATTTGAGTTTTTGTACTGACTTTTTAATACCATTGACAACTACATATCTTTTTTAAGGTAACTATTTAACATCTTCTTCATGAATGTGTGGTACTCTAATGTAAATAAATTTTTAGATGAACTGATGATGCTATCAGAATTCGATAGCGAAACGTCTTCAAAATAGATGAAGTAGTATCAACTTTGTCTTTTATTTCTCCACCTAGTTGACCGATTGAACCCACCACTCATCTGAGTGATCCTTATTTATATTGGATAGATGGTCGTACTCCTTTTTGCGATATATATATATATATATATATATATATATATATATATATATATATATATATATATATATATATATATATATATATATATATATATATATATATATATATATATATATATATATATATAACCTGCATATATGTAATCCTCTTGCATGGAACTGAAACTTAAACGTTTGGGCCTATGAAATATGGATAATACATTGGATGCTCAGAATATCCGTTTTGAGAAGAATACATTTAAATAGAGAAATGGTGAAAATTGTTAAAGGACAAAAGACAAGTTCTTTGGGTATATATTATATATAGAGGGGCAGAGTACAAAAATTTTAAGATTAACATTTGAATAATTGAGGTAAGATCGAAGAAAGAAGAGAGCCGGGTAGACAACAATGTTCATATCAGAAAAACGTAGGAGACTGGGTCGATTTAAATTGGAAATCACTTTTCATCATCGCCCAAAATCGAGAAGGATTTGCGGAAATTGTAGCCAAGATGACAAGGCACAAGAAGAAGAGATACGAGGAGCCATAATACCGGTATCGGAAGAATCTATTGAATCAATGGAATATTAAAATTTTTAAATAATTAATTGTAAGAGAAATTTGCTCATCTTGTCGATAAATAAAATATTTTCAACAATTTTAGGTACCCACGAGCACGAAGAAGAGAACATTTCAACAGAAAAAGAACCGTCCGATGCTAGTATCGATTCTAGTTCCACAGACCAAGATGATTGGGAAGAAGTTATGCGTAAAATTTTCACTCCTCCTGCTGAAATTCACATTGAAGGTACTACCGAGAAAAATACAGTCTATATGGTTCCAATTCTAAACGCTTCTGTAAATACAGAGGAGTATAGAGAACCAAAGATTCAAGGTAATATTATAAGATCGGATTATTAAGTATAATGTGTATTATGGTGGTAAACATATATATTTCTTCAAATAAATGTCTCCACTATTTTTTCAGATCACCGAAGTCAGAAAATAGAAAATTAATATAAGGTGAAGTAGGGTAAATGTAATATAATTTTTGAATAGTTCTCTTTCATACGGGTAAAACTTGATTTTTAATGGAACAATGATAAAACAAAAATGAGCGGTGCTTCAAATATAGTTATTAATTGATCTTATCTTTCATATATACGCCACTTTTTTTGAAAAAATTTTTGCATTTTTTTTTAAATTATGTCAGTATATTATATTTACTTCGACGTTTGGGACAAATGTAATAATTCTCTATATCAACCTATAAGTACGTAATTCAAAATATTACGAGGTAAAAATATAAAGTATAAAGATTGATCGTAAAGAAAGCCAGTATTCATAAAAGTTAATTATTTAAAAAACATACTATATTGGTACTTAAATACAACAAATATTGAAATAAAAAAATCAATTAAAAAGATAAATTAATTGTAACCTTTAAAAGAACCTGAGAATATAAAAGAACCACGTCCATTGACAGTTGGTTCTGGCAAAACCAGGGCGATATCACTTTGGTCTACAATGTCTATGTAATCCAGTACTGGCCATGAAAACGCGGTATGACTCTGTAACCATTTCAACAAAATGCTTATTAGTTTTTTGGTGCAGTATCTGACTAGTACCCAAGAATTAGGAGTAACAGTTTGGTAAACATCTTTAATGTTATTATCATCTTCAAACTCATGCCAAAAGTCTTCAGAATTCTCGGAATCCATATAAGGTAGGGATTCAGGTTGCAAATATGTGCTGCTTAACGAAGTTGATTTTTTTATTTCTTTTAGCTGGTTTTGGTAGTGTTCATTTTTTACTATTATCTTTTAGTCGGCCTACTGCCTCTTTTGAGGTTAATATTTCAGAACCAGGACATACTGGGGACTTTTTGTGTTATCTTTGGCTTAGGTGCTTGACGAACTACTGACAATAACAAATTCTAAAATGATACGTTAACACTAGGTTCTTTTGTAGCAATTCCTTCTTTTGATGTGGAAGTCACTGCAGTGTCAACTGTTATCGAATTCCCGTTAATACATATAATACTTTGAGAATGATCTTTTTAGTGCTTCTGGTGCAAAACTTCATCTGGTATAACATTTTTGTTAATTGGAATATTCCACCTTTTCAGAATCATCTTTTTATAAATTCTGTTGAAATAGATTTCCAGGTCTCGCAGAGAATCGGCAAAAACATTCTCTTTAACAGTTTTTGTCCCACTGTCTTTACAAAGATATCAATTTTTTATCCCATTTTAGTTTAGATGGTAGAGAAACACACAGATCTAATGGTTGCAAAAGATGACTGCTGTGTGGTGGTATTTTTAATACAGTTATGTTTTTCTCGATCGCTGCTTCAAGTATTTCTAAGCTTATATGTGTTAAGTGACCATCATAAATGATTATAACTGGAGGTTCTAGACCAAGTACTGGAATTAAAGTTTTCCGGAAATAGTTTGTAAAAATATCACTCTCTTTCCAACCTTTCTTACTGGCAGCATAAGCGTTAATTGAAAAACCTGCTTTGGGAGGTGCAACCCACTGGTCCCACAAATGCTTGCCTTTAAATATTATTACCGGTGGGGCTTTACCGTAAGCTACGTTGCACATTAAAAGAATAGTTGTGTTTTCTTTATCTGGGGAACTTACTGTTCTCAAAGAAGCTTTGTTGACCAACTTCTTTAGATTTTCTCGGATCTATACTTAGGCTGCTTTCATCTATCATACTCTATGAAGCTTATCAAAAAGTTCAAGCTCGATCATACTCTTTGCCAGCAGGTCAAAATATGCATAGATTATGAATGGGTCTAATGATTTCTTCGTAGCATATTCTACATGTGCCATTATCACATTTACCCAACTTCACCTTATTTTTATATATTTTTTTTTTGTAAACAAATATATAACAAAAAAAGTGGTTATATACTTTCAGGACACACTGTTGATGGAATATAGATTCCGAAAACGTTTTGTGATATAGCCCGATTGGATGTTTTAATTATATACCTTTTATAAAGGATTTTAAATAAAAAAAATTTGTGATACATGGTATACAGCCAGCTATAGGAACTTAATTTCCTTGTGGATCTTATGTTATATCTTCCTATTTTACAGAACTTCACATTAACCCTATAAATTCATCTAACTCAGAAAATAAGACAGTGCATCAGATTACTGACTCAGTGGAATCGTCTGAACCCGGCCACGATGAATACATGAATCCATTCCTACCAGAACTCGACAATGATACCTTCGTCAACTCTTTACACTCAGAAGAGCACTTTGTTGATCACGATAACCACGATAACGTTTCTACCATCAAACCATCGTCAGGGGAACATCATAACGAAACCAGTAAAGCAGCACCCTCTGATCAACATGGCGACAGGCTGGTTATTGCTTCTGTTCATGAGAATAAAAACGAAGAAGTATCTACACTGCCATCAATGGATACGGAAGGTTAGAATTATTTTATCGTCCGTACCCAGTTTCTATTACAACCATAATATTTGTTTTTAGATACAGTCAAGTCAACTAATCCACCTTCTTTGGAATTCGATCAAATGAACCGAACAAATCCATTCGATAACAACACGGCCGACGCCACAAAACTGAAGGAAGAAGAAAAATCTTCCAGCGAAGAATTAGAAATCGAGCCTTTAAAACCGGAGGTAATGATCATCATTTCTGACAAAAATGAAATGACCTCCGAATTACCAGCTACCACAGAATATATTACTACAGAAGGTAACTGTTTATTTTGTATTCGTTTCTTATTGGTAGAGATCCATATTTTCCTTTAAATTATGAAAATGATTTTAATACTGTAGGCGTCATAATGGGTTATCAGCAATGTTTTATAGTCGTAGTAAATAATAAAATTATTATTTATATAAGTGATGGATTCAACCGTTACTTGATGGAAATTTATTTTATATAACAATAAAACACTGAAAACCTTCTTCTTCTTCTCGTGCCACTCCTAGCGGAGATTGGAAATCATCATGGCCACTGCGACTTTGTTAGCAGCGCGCCTAAAAAGTTCAATCGAACTACTCCCGAACCATTTACGTAGATTACGAAGCCACGATATTTTTCTTCTTCTCACACTTCTTTTGCCCTTAATTTTGCCCTGCATGATGTTTCTGAAAACCTGGTTTTCAAAAATTCCACAAAATTTATTATAATATTTTAACACTACAACTGTTTCGGCAAAGTGCCTTTCTCAAGTGATCTATGTGGATGGACAATGTCTAGTCTTTAACGAAATAGGTTGAGGAGGGGAGAACTGTTTATCTCAAGTTGGTAATTCAGAATTATATCAGAATTATAATTATATTTGTTTTTTAATTTGTTAATTTCCATAAATTCTAATAAAGATACCTTAAGGCCTTTATTTTGAATGTGAAGAACCTATGGAAATTAACAAATTAAAAAACACAGACATAATTCTGAATGACCAACTTGAGATTTGAGTTCTCCCCTTCTCAACCTGTTTCGTTAAAGACTATAAATTTGTAAACACATCCAAACATAGATTACTTGAGAAAGGCACTCTGCCGAAACAGCTATCGTGATAAAATATTATAATAAATTTTGTGGAAGTTTGAAAACACAGTTTTCAGTGTTTTATTGTTATATTAATTATATGTTGTCAGTCAAGCATCGTATTATTTAAAAATTACGTACAAGCATATAGTTTCCAAAATTGTCATTTTTTTTTTCGTAATATATAACAAATTAAACAATTGTGCTATTATTCAGACTAGTATCAGATTCGGCGTTTTTAAAACTGATAAGTCAGCTAAACATTGTTGTTAGTCGTTTCCGCCTCAGGATTAAATGTCAATAAACTGAGGATCTAAGGATTTTATCGTTACATAGGTATCTAATATCCTCTAATTTTGTTATATTTCAGGTAATAGAATCTCAGAGAACTCTAATATACAAATCAAAGACGACGCAATAAACACTAGTACTGATTCATCTTCTATGAATGAACATCCTATGGATACCACAACAAAACTTGTGGGCGGTATTGATAATGCAATCACTATAATTGGCACTACAAATACATCAAACGAAAATATCGAACCTGAAAATCACACTGAGATTCAAAATAATGTAAATCAAGAAATTCGCATTGATGAAATCGTGAATAAAGACAAAACTACTACAGGAAAATCTGAAATTAACAGTATACATGTTGCCTCAGAAAGTGTAGATATGAACGAAACCAAACTTACAACCACTGAAAAAGTAACCACTGAACATGACAATATTAACGTTGTAAATTCCTCCGAGGTGATAACCGATAGTACAACGAATAATAGTTTTAGTCAAATTCATATAGCTGAAGTACTACCAACCGAAAAAACCAAAGAATCTGATACAAACCAAACAGAAATCCGCATTGAAGAAAATATCACCACAGTTCTTCCAGACATGAAAAACGATTATTCCACTGAGCCTCCTAAACAGATAACAACTTTGCCAGCGGATATTATCAACAACATTCACAGCAATAGTTATTTTGATGAAATAGTTCAACATGATGATGTTGTGACATCAGAAAATTCATCTTCTGTTGAAAGTACAGCAAATTCTTCAAACGTTAACAATTTTAACGTGATCACTTCTAGTACTGAGGATCTCATTGCTTTGGAAACAACAACGAATATAGAAGGAACGACTATTCCAGATATTGAGGTAAGAATAAATGATTCTATTCTATTTATTTTATGCCTTGAGCCTGTTTGGCTTATGTACAAGGGTTACTATTTACATTTTGGAAAAAAAAATAAACAATGTTTCATTCAAAATGACATTAAATCACGTATCGAAGTATTTTGATATTTCATTTGAATTAATTCCAAGACGCAAAACCTTCGTGCCGCAGTTGTTTTGGATGTAATAAGCATTTTTTAGTAAATGTAATGAATCTGCCTTACCTAGTAACAAGACAATTACTTAACAATTTGACGTTTTGATTTCAACTTCGGAAATTATTCTCAATATTTTGGTTTAGGTTTAATAATTACTGTTAAATTTGGAACTAGATTTTATTATTCCATTAAAATTAACATTTTGGTATATAGTCCTTGCTTTTGTCAATATTCTTAAATGTATAAGATTGAGAACAAAAAGTTATTGTAAAACCAATAAAAACTTACCAAACGTAAAGCGAGATACAAATATTAATGAACTGACAGAGAGTAAAAATTTACTCTGATATTCATTATTATTTAAGTATGATTACATGGGCGTATCGTTGGTGTTTTCGAACAATTTAAAGTGAAGATATGTTTCAACTTTAAGAGTTAATTAATATTTAAATTATATTGAAATATATTTTATTTAGGTTCCTTGTATCTTTTTGTCATTGATTTTGTTAGTGTTTCTTTTTATTTATATTAATTCGCATGTCTCCCTCTTCTTTTTGTTTTGGTTAGTTTTTAAAATGTTTGGGAGTCAAATTTATGCTTCCTCTCATTTCATGCTTTGTGAGCATAGTGGTATTGTTCTAGTCATATTTGTGGGAACGTATTCTAGATTGAAGCAATACTTTGTTAACTCAAAACTAATGTAATCAATTACAAAAAAGATACAGTGAACTTAAATAAAATATATTTCAATCTGATTTGAATAATAATGAATAACAAAAATAAAAACTCTTTAAGTTGTAACATATCTCCACTTTACCTGTTTCGGAAAACACCAAAAATACGCCCATGTAAACATAATTATATAATGACAATAGTAAGTGAGATATCCAATGTAAATTTTTACCCTCTGTCAGTTCATTAATATTATAGTCTCGACTTTTAAATTTGGTAAGTTTTTTATATGTTTTACAATAACTTTTTGTTCACAATCTTATACATTTCAGGATCTTGACAAAGGCAAGAATTACATGCCAAAATGTTGATTTTAATGGAATTATAAAATCTAGGTTTAAATTTAACCGTAATATAATTAAACCTAAACCCATGAAATACTTACTTTATATTAAATATAGTATGGTTCAAAAACGAAACTCCATAAAGCTATATATATATATATATATATATATATATATATATATATATATATATATATATATATATATATATATATATATATATATATGAACTTTGATAATGTAAAAGGCAAATATCGAGAGCACAGTATTAATTTAATCTTACCCAAGTACTTTCGAACACTAGATCATCTTCACGAGCATCTGAAATAAGCCAAGAAACGTTTTTGTAACTAAAGAAATTAATTAGCTTTGATAAAACTCGAAGTTTATGGTTGATAAAAGTTTTTATGTGATTAACGTTTATAGACTTACTTCGTCAATTGCGGCCTATCCGACAAGGGTAGAATGTCATTAATATAAAATATATTTATATTTTATATATATATATATATATATATATATATATATATATATATATATATATATATTTATGACATTATACTCTTGTCGGATGGGTAGCAATTGATGAAGTAAGTCTATAAACGTTAATCACATAAAAACTTTTATCAACCATAAACTTCGAGTTTTTATCGAAGTTAATTAATTTCTTTAGTTAAAAAAACGTTTTTTGGCTTATTTCAGATGCCCCTGAAGATGATGTAGTGATCGAAAGTACAAAAGGGTTTCATTTAATGTATGTCAAATATGTTTAATAAACAGTTCTAAACAAGTGTCCCGAATATAAAATCAACATTTTTTTTTAGAAATAATAGGTTGTTAGTATAGTGTATGACTGTACGACCTCCACAATTGTTGATTACTGTCATTCAGTAGCAAGGCAAACTCATGATCAGATGGTTAATGTCTTGCTGCGGTATTCTGTTCCACTCCATTGAAAGGCCCTTAAACAGTTGCTGTCTTGTATTGACGCAATATTTTGTTGTAAAATAAGTTTGCCCAATATGTTCCATACATGCTCAATTGGGTTTATTGGGCTATGGTAAAACCTTAATTTCATTATCTTCGAGAAATGTTCGCACTACTTTGGCAGAATGCGGACACGCTCCATGCCTGTATACTGACGCTTTGCTGTCTATAAACCTCCTGCACGGTGACCAAACGTTCAGCATTGCCAGATCTGTCAACAAAGTAGAGGCAGACCCACATCTAACCCAATTGGAGTGTTCTTGTGCTCATTGAAGTCGATGAGCCCGATTTCCTGTGGTTAACATAGGTACTTTCACAGGTCTTAGAGCATGTAACCCTACTTCATGTAGTCTATTTCTAATGGTTTAGCTACTTACAAAAATCTGATGGGTGTCTTGAAGCCTCATTTGTAAATGTGATTTACAGTGCGATCTCATTAAGCCTGTAACGTAATAAAACAGTCTTCAATCTGGAAACAGGGCTGAATCTGGTTGGTTATTCTTTTACGGTCTGTATGATGTTTAGCAACATCACCTTGCAACAGTTTCTTGACACCTTAATAACAAACGATTAATGACACTTATGTTCGTGTAGAGGACCTATTATTGGCATTTGCAAAATTAAATAAAAATCCACATAGACATCGAAAATCAAGTACCAATAAAGAAATATTACTTTTTATCTTAGAGACAGAAACGCTTATTGAAGTTTTGTTAATTTTTTTATAGCCATTCTTAACAGCACTACTATCCAAATTGGTACAATAATAATCAAAAAAAACAACAACGAAGATTAAAAAACAGATTTATTTATTCTTAACATTAGGAAATAAAACTCATTTCAAATTAATTTAAGTAAATTTTTTCTTGTTCTTTTAAAAAATTTAGGTGATAAAATGTAAACGTAAAATACTTTTTGAACACCGTGTAGATTAGTGAATATCTATAAAACAATATTTAGGTTATATTCAAATTAATCAATGTTTTAGGAAAATGACCTAAAGAAGTCAAACAAACCTGAACCAACAATGATAGTAGCAGAAGATATTGAAACCGCTACCACAGTAGTAAACGTAAAAAACATCAATGAAGAAAAAGAAGAAGAAAACGAAATTTCAACCCAAACCAACCAAGTAACAACTATGGATCCAAAGCTATACGAAGTAAAGGAAACTGTTGCAGATGTGACTACTACAGAGAAGTTGTTTGTTACGCAGAAAACAACCACTGAGTCCAGAGAGGTAAAAAGATACTACAATCTACTCATTATTATTATGTGAGGATTGTAGTCAATTATATTTTGTTCTATTCTATTATTATTATTCTATTACTATTATCTTATATAAACCGTTTTTCAGAACGTACCAAAAGGAATGCAAATAGTTCTGGAAGGTTTACCTGATTCGTGCATAAAACTAAAATTAATATTATAAAAATTAAGAACAGAAGTGCAATTCCTGTTCCTGTTCCAAACAAGAACAGGAAACTTGCTTCAAGGCAATTAAAAAACTTAAAAATAATTAATCACCAGGCAGTGATGGTGTATTTGCAGAGTGCTTAAAACACGGATGAGAAGCGTTACACAGATCTATATAGGAGCTAATTCAAGGCATTTGGCGAGAAGAAACAATGATAATACAAGAAATGTATTAACCACCGGGCCATAACGGTGCATAACACCACCTACAAGGTCCTTGCAAACATCCTCCTAGAAAGAACCAAAACATACACAGAAGAAATCGATGACGATTATCAATGCAGATTTAGACCGGCCTCTCCGGTCAAAAATGCTGTGAGTTTGATCATGAGCTTTATCAGATGTTCATACATTTTAAACAGGCATTTGATAGAGTATGCTCGGTTATACTGTGGACAGCGATGCAGGAACTTGCCTTTCAAAAAACACTCAATTCGATACGGATCTGTATGGAAATGTTACGATGTAAGGTGAGAGTTGGACAACGATACTCGGAGATATTTGAAATAAATTATGGACTTAAATAGGGAGATGCACTTTCACCACAACTCTTGAACTTAGCTCTAGAACATATAATCAGAAATACAATAATCAAAAAACCGACTCTATCATTCCATCGAGAAGGACCAAACTTACTGTTGGCATTTGCGGACGATGTTGATCTAATAGGAAAGACCAGATTAAGGATGAAGAAGACTTTCATCAGGTTCGAGAAGGAAGCAGAACAGAATATCAGCATCGATGACTTAAACTTTAAGAGCGTCAGAGAATTTAAGTATCTTGGCACAAAAATAATTGAAGACAATAACAGGTCACAAGAAATAACCAATAGAAAAATCGGCAACAGATGTCTTTATGCCCTTCAAAAATTTGTAAAACCGAAACAAATAACAAGATATACAAAGTATGGTAGCGAAAGTACGGATTTAGAAAAGAATTTAACCTAGAAATGCATATTGCATATATAGATTTTAAAAAGCCTCCGACTGACTTCGATTATCCAAAAGTTAAAAGATTATCCAAAAAAGACGGATAAACAGAAAAAGCATACAAGATCACAGAAGATATTTTGAACACAAAAAAGAGATTACCTGTATCCTGTACAATCTAAGTTATAAAAAGGAAACATAAATTTTACTTCAACAAAACAGATTAAACAAAAATAAATTAAGTAAAAAAAGTAACCAAATTTATACAAACAGAAATTCACCTATGAAAAGTTGTACACATGTTGAAAAACCTTACTTTGCAGTAATACATTAACCGTGGCGATTCTTCTTCTGGTGCCTAAAAATATTGTGGATAACCATTCTGGCAATTATAATTATTTGTAGCTGACATTTACAATACTAAGGTAGATACCAACTCCACATATTGTTTAACCAGTATATTCGTCTATTTGGACGCTTTTCTTACTCTACAGTTTTCCTTTGATAATACATTTTAGCAAATTTTTTTTCGGTCTCTTCGATGTTGCTTCAGTAAATGCCTTAAGCCTATATTTTACTTAAAAAGACAGAGAATAATTATGTAACATTGTATAAGTCCTATATTAAGTATCAAATTTTGATCAGCTTGTACATTTGTATGAATGTACCGTTGCTTTTTCAATTCTAGATTTTATTTCATTAGACATATATTCCACTTCTTTTTTAGTTATGGTAAGTTGTATACTTTAAAGCGTTTTCTTTCTTGAAAACAAAGTTTTCAGTGTTTTATTGTTACGTTTTCTTTCTTATTTGTCTTAACTTTTGTTTTGCTGTTTTTTGACTTCTATGCTCTAGTTTCTACCAACTGTGTTCATAAAGATAGATAGTTTATAATCAGTTTAACTTTTCTTGATTTAATAATGTTCCTTTTTGTCATGGTTCAATATTATAAAATTTTATAAAACTTTGGCAAATGTTATAGATATTTTTATCTTTCTATACTTTTTACAGATCGAAGATTCAACGGAAGAACTAGGCATAATTCCTTTAAGCGAAGATACCTCATCCGAAACACCGAAAAAAAAGAAAGATTTGTCCTTCGAAAATAACGAGATCTCAGACGAAAAGATTGACAGCAGCAATGAGAAACTCAATGAAATTTCTCGCAAAAAGGATCAAGTGATACCAGTTACCGAAGACTTTGTATTGCCTAAGGTTTCCAGATGTTCTCCAGGACAGTTCCAGTGTTTAAATGGAACTTCAGTTAAAGATAGCAGTTACTGTATTCCAATCGGTGACAGATGTGACTCTGTTTTGGATTGTACTGATGGTTCTGATGAAATCCATTGTATGGAGGAAGGATGTCCCAATAATTATCAGGTGAGATATAGCACTACTACTATGTCGATGGTGACGTGGTTTGGGTGAAGGTTACCGTGGGGATTGGCGTTGGCATTTGCGCGGGGGTTGGCGCGAATATTTCCGATTGTATCTGGAGATTGATGTCTGTTGATGCTTTTATTGATGTTATTTCGCGTATTAATGACTGAATTAATTTGAACAACAGTCCATATGTCGATCAGATACGAGCGTATTTAAATCTTTAGTACCAGATTTACTTAGAAATTTAAACTACTATTGTTTTTCTTGCCAGTGCAGGACCTAAACTATTCGACATTGAAATAAATGCGAGTCGTCGTACTTGTCTATCTGACCGACAAACTCACGGTTGCAGAAAAATCGTTTATATTGAACTAAACTATATAAGCATACTCAGAAATTTTCGAAAGGCATTGAAATTTTTATTACATAAAATGTGTATGTGTGTTATATAAACTCACCATAAATTGCCCATAAATCAAAAATAATAGGTGGCTATAAAGTTAAATCTTTTTGGGCTGAAAATAAGGTGGTCACTATAAAGCAACCAGTGTCTTTATGGTACCTAACACAAAGCTTCTGCAATTTTTTTCTTGTGGTGTATATCAATTTTGGACATTGGCGATGATCATGACAATTTTGACTTTGTTTACTGCTCGAAACAGTTATGCGGTCATATTAAACTAATTTCTGTAAGTGAAACGAAAACCGTCGTCCGGTCTTCTCTTACTTAGAAATAAAACATAGCCTTATATAATAATTAGGTTTTTATTACGGATCTAAGATTGTAAAAAACTTTTTTGGAATTAATAATATTGTTGTCGTTATTTCAGTGTGCCAGCAAACAATGCCTAAAGCGACATCTTGTATGTGATGGCATTTTGAACTGTAATGATGGAAGCGATGAGACCAATTGTGGTAAGTTAATATAATAAAAAGATCAGCATTTATATTTTTAATAGCATATCAAACAGTTATATATGTACATATAAAATCAATGTGTTGATCCTGTAACTTCTGCTGCTATTTAAACGTAAAGTCAATTGTCTTTTTAGATCTCACTTTCCGTTTTTCTCCCTCTCTCCTTTCTATCACTTCCACTTTCTTTCGTTGTTCTCCTATTTTTCCATCTCCCATCTTAACTTACCTGGTGCTTACTTTATACCATCCGCTTTCATAAATTCCTCCTTTCTTCTAAATTCCTTTTATTTATCTTCACTTTCACATTTACTCTTACTTTCTACTCCTTCCTCTGCTTTTACTCCATTTCGTCCCTTTCTCAACTTTCCCTTTCTTGTCGCTACTTCTATCTTCTTTCATTTCATCCACTTTTCCCTATCTTTTTCTTTTCCCCATTCTAATCTAGATACATTGACCAGATCCCTTAAACAGTTTCTATTTTCCAGATACAAAATCATATTCCCCGTTTATACATATTTTCTATACTGCAATCTCATCGCTCTCCCTTCTCTTTTTTCTGTAAACTTAATTGTTCGTTAATAATAGTGAATGCCATCTGTTTCATTATTAAATCATAATACTCCAAAGTTTTAAACATTTTTGCTGAGTCACCAACTTTGTTGGGACCATTATTAGGGTTGGCCATATCTTTAATTCTTTTATTTGATGTTGATACAGAGTTTTCTTCTACTTTTTCTTCGCTTTACGTATTACTTTTACAATTAGCACCTAATAGATGCGTATATTACAGGAAGTCTTGTTTTCTTGGACACTACACACTTTCCTTCTAAAAAATTTACATCTGACAGTTTTTTAAGATAATTTGCTTTAGTCCATTGTAATTTTTTTAAATTTTCGGATCATTTGAAATTGTTTCATCAATTCTTTTAGATAATTTGATGTATGTATATATTATTGCATATACTACTGATATCGTTTAATTTTTGTTATGGAATAGCATAGTTAATGTAATCATACGCAAGAGCTAATACTCACTAAGTTTTCGAAATCGCTTATTTGTTCTATTGTACAATTAATAATATCAAAACTTTTCTTTTCCTAGAATCATGGACATGCAGCCCTGACGAAATATCATGCGGTCCTTCAAACCGCTGCATCCCCGCCTCTTGGAAATGTGACGGTAGAAAACATTGTCCAGACGGGTCCGATGAGGATGGATGTATAACTACTGGTCCATGTCCTGGGGAATCTTTCAGATGCTCCGAGGATAGCAGCTGTATACCTAATTCATGGAGATGTGATGGACTGTTGGACTGTGCCGGTGGAGAAGATGAAATGAAATGCGGTAAGGCTTTTGTTATAAAAAAACCATTATGAATGCTCAGTATTATAGTACCTATTAGAAATTATCAAACAGATAAAAGTAGGAAGGACAAAATAAAAATCTGGTACAAAATACCATGAAAAGTATGCCAAATTCTAGTATGGAATCGAAGAACTGATTTACGAATATATATTATGGCGACTTCTTGTTAAAAATTTTATCATTTAAACATTTATGAATAAGAAATGGAGACTTTGGAAATTAGTAAGAGAGGCAAGGCTATAAAATTATATAAACTAGTCTTTTATGTTTAAAGCACACAATAACAAGTTCTGGATATATAATTTTACTAAAACAATATCAATAATTTTACCTTATCTACAGGTAAATCACATATTGTCATTGTAAGTATTGAAAATACTGTTCAAAAATCACGGAATAGCGAAATGCATATAAATAATTAGATACTTGTATGCAATTTCAAAAACCAATAAATTTAAACCAATAAAATCCATTAATTTGGTACATTACTACTCAAACTTCAATTTAAATAATTTATATTACAGCATGTACTGATGAAGAGTTCAAATGCCAGATAGGAGGCGGTTGTATTCCCATATCCAATCGTTGTGACGGTATTGCTCAGTGCTCTGATAGATCTGATGAATGGAATTGCCTGAAATTGGAGAATTTAATCATAAAGGTTACAGATTCCAATGACAAGAAGATATTACAGGTAAATATATTCGTAAGACAACTCGATATAATATTTAAATCCATTTTTTTTTAAATATTTTTTAGAAAAATACGACAAATTTTAAAATTATGAATTTATAAATCACATCTCTATTTATTATCTCTAAATGATCTTACTGCTTCTAAACACACAAATAAGAAAACTAAAAGTTTTAAACTAACTATTACCATTGCAAACGTTTTATGCCGTCTTGAATCTGGTTAAATACAAATAATAATATATATCATCATTATCATCACCCCCAGCCCTTTGCGTCCACTGCTGGACATAGGCCTTCCTCATTTTTGTCCATTGTGCTCTGTCTTGAGCACTTTTCATCCAATTTCTTGACATGTTCTTGAGATCGTCAGTCTAACGTGTAATGGGTATTCCTCTACTTCTTTTGTCAAACCTCGGCCTTCACTCAAGCAATCTCTTCGTCCACATTTTATCACTGATTCATGCGATGTGTCCGGCCCAGTTCCATTTCAGTGTGGTAAATTCGGGAAATTGCATCGATAACTCCTGTTCTTCGTCTTGAGTCTTCATTTTTAACTCGGTCACGAAGCGATATACTCAGCACTGATCTTTCCATTTTCCATCAGCAATCCTCTGAGCTATTTGTAGCGTTTTAGAACTTGTAGATGTCAATGTCAAAGTTTCGGCACCATAGGTCATCACAGGCAACACACATTGGTCAAATGTTTTACGTTTTAAAGAAGTTGGTATATCGCTTTTAAAGATGTCTTTGAGTTTTCCATTAGGAAAACTCAAAGACATCTGTAAAACCTTCCCACGTTAGGTTTATTTTTCTTCGTAGTTTGCATGTTTGGTTGTCTCTTGTGATCTTTATTTCATGTACAAGAAATATGTATTTTTCCACCAGCTCTACTTTGTTGTCTCCAATATTGATATTTCCGCTAGGTACTAGTTTTGTCATGAATTTTGTTTTGGAGATTTTTATTTTAAGACCCACACTGGCACACACTGTGCAGTGTGAGTTCATGCTACATGAACTTCAGTTATGAACATGTCTGATCGTTCTGACCGGTTTGAACAGTTCTGTCGGACTTTTCTGCCGATTGGGATGTGATCCGTGGTTTCACCGGATTTCATATAGTTTCACCGACATAGTTACGTTTTTGTATGTATTGTAAATTAACCTTGTATATCGGTAGTCAATGCGGCATGCTTGTAGTGCTTCCAGGATTTTGTAAAATGTCAATCTAAAGGCTTCTACAAAGCTTTATGTCAAAGGGAATCTACAAAAGCCAGAACGAGTGATCGATTGTATTCGATAGTCTTTTCTATTACCATTTTAATACTCTGTAAGTGATGATTTGTTCCAAATCAGGTACGAAATCCCGCTTGCTCTATTGGCAGGCAGAAATCAAGTTTTTTCTCAAGACGATTCGTTACTATTCTTGTAAAGAGTTTATATAGGTGACTAAGAAGACTTATAGGTCTGTAGTTTTCTAATTAATGGGGATCTCCTTTTTTGTACAATACAATTACCTCAGCATTGTGCCATTTGTCGGGTATATATATTACTCTCCAAAAGACACATGGTTAAAAAGGTTTTTTATTTTCTTAAGTAGGCAAGTGCCTCCGATTTTGATTGCATCAGTAACTACACAATCTTCGCCTGGAGATTTGTTATTCGAGTTGTTGAACATAACTTGTTCAAAACAGTACTTCAGTACTGTTTTGAACTAATAAATACATGTATATAGTTTAATGAAACAAATACGTAAATGATAAATATTTGTGTCACTGTGTCTCCCCTAAACTACGTATCAATCGCTAAATTATTTGAAAATACTTACCTCCATCTTATCTTCTTAGGGTGCCTGTCCGTTCCGAACGGTGGCGATCATTCTGGCTATGATGAATAGCTGATGAAATCTTTGTTGTATGCTCTACAGAATAGCTCTGTTGAGGTCTTTCTTTAACATGCTCTCAGATTAGCAAGCCAGGATATTCTTCTTCGTCCTGAGGCCCTTTTTCCTTCAATTTTGCCTTGCAAAATGCATTGAAGTACCTCGTATATGTCTTGATTTCTCATTATATCTCCCAAGTACTGCAGCCTATCCTTCTTATTATCCTTCTGTATAATCATAGCTCAAAAGCCTAAAGTTTTGATAGAGTGTCCGCCTTTAATGTCCCCGTTTCTACTTAGTATAAAATAACTGAGTACACGTAACATTTAAGGAGCCTTATTTTTATTCCTAGGGTGAGGTCATGTCTCTTGAACACAGAGCTCAAAATCAAGAGTGCACTTTTTGCCTTTCCGATGCGACATTTAATGTCTTGGGTATTGTCCCACGACTCATTATCTTATACCAATCCATTAAATAGGAAATATGCTTAAGAAACCTGCCTTTCTCTTTCCGAGTCTGTCTTTGGTCTTGTAGTGAGTCTCAATATAGAGGAAACATATAGTATGGACAAAGACTTTTAGAGGGAAAGTCATGAATTTATTCCTTCTGGCACCTAAAACTTTGGCGCCGCCCATTTTTACAAAAATTTTATTCTGGAAGATTTTAAAATATATTGCATATAATTAACAGTTTATAATCTAATTGCAGATGGAATTTCATTGTGCCTGCCTATTATTCTGTTGTCAAAAAACTATCATTAGTAAGATCAATTTTGTAATTGCTTATGGATAGAGTATCTCACTACGATGTTGTGCTGTAGTACACCAAATGGAACCCACCATACTCTTTGATAATATTATTCTGAGCTGTACATTTATTTAGAACACTCTCTATATAAAATTTTCGAACCAGTGATTTTCGTTTCTCTAAAAATGTGTACAGAATTTGTCTATTTCCAGTACCTCTAAAAAACTGCACAGAATATGTCTATTTATATCTAATTTGCACTATATTTAGTCAAAAGTTAAAAACTAATTCACTTCTCTTCATCCTCTATCCTTTATCATTCGTAAAGATTGTGGTGACGTTATGGTAATTGACGTATGGTTGTTATCCATTCTTCTCTCTCATAAACGTGGTGTGCTACTTCAGACAGACAGTAACCGGTGATTCTCTAACTCACACAGTAATGAAAATCTATGCATTCTGGAATTGAATATTGCCATGCACCATGTACTTTTAGATCTGTAAAAAAGTAATATGCGATAAATGTTGCTTCTTGTTGTGTAAAACCATAGAACCATAAAAAAAGTCGAAAAACCGTAGCACCTCGTCAACCTAACTCTTAGCTCCAGCTTTAAGTCTTTTATGCAGAGCATTCTTCTCAATTTGTTGAAAATTGCTCATATTTTTTCTATTCTTATTTTGATTTCCTGGAAGTAATCATTTGTGGAGATAATCAATATTCCAAGATATGCATATTTGTTCACTTGTTCGACATTGGTTCCGTTTATTTTCGTTTATTCCTCATTTGTAAGTATAAGCTTCCTCTATTGCATTACGATTTTTTATGTCATAGTGTCAGGTATTTATTTTCACTGTATGATCTAATGAAATTGTTATAGGTTCAAGCAAAGAACAACACTTGGTACCCAATCTGTATGGACTGGACGATATGGAATACAACCTACGCTGACTTGGTATGCCAAAAATTAGGATATACAGCTTCAGCTACCTTAGAGTCCGTCCCAGAACCTAAGAACTCCACGTCAAAGATAAGCTATAATTTGAAAGTGATGACTGAGCATGACGAGTCTCTGCAGTTTATAGAAAATATTGTGCCGAACTGTGATCAGTATGTCTCTATTAGTTGTCAAGAATACGGTAAGTGTTAAATGAGTAGGAAATACTTTCTGTAATATTTCATAAATCCTTAAAATATTTTCTTAATTACGATAATAAAATATTTTACATACTTCTTAGTAGATTTAAAGTATCTATTTTACTATTTGGGTGCCTCTATACTACTACGTTCATTACCTCTACTACTACTACTACAAGTGTGTATATTATAATTTCCACAAAAAATATCATTCCAAAATAACTTCCGGAAGTATATTATTCGGTTGCTTTGCTATGATGTCTGGTCTTTCTGCTCAGAATCAATTTGCTTATTTTAAAATCTTTATTTTTATTTAATTTTTTGTTGACGTTTTCAAAATCCAAAAACTTGGTTTGGTAACCAATTACAAGAAGGGGGATCTCAACGGCAAGTAGCTACACCACTTATTTGGTTTGTCATTTTTAGACCCAAAATGAGTCGACGATTATTTCGTCAATGATTTTATGGCTAACATTCCTAACCTCCCTTATGATAGAGATTTACATTTGTGATAAGTCTCTTTTCCCTCTAACTGTTTGGGCATTTCTGACCAGCCACATACATTACATCATAAATACATGTGAATTCTTTCATTCCCAATTTTTCACTTGATTTTATCATTACCATCCCAATACCCTGACTTTGTATCTACGCTTCTACAGTTCCATATTAAGGTGTACGTTGAATTATATATTTACTATTGTATTTTTCCATTTTGACCTCGGTAAAAAGTAATATTAAATGAAAATACTTGACACGTATGAAGAAAACTGGACAGTCATGGAATAGATGACAGTTATCACGTTTTAAAATAACCAATTAAAACAATGATGGCAATTCTTAATGTAGGCGAGACAAAGAAGCAATAAACCTAGTTTTTGCATTAGGATGGATCTCTTTTTACATTCGATTCGGATAAGTGTCAGGAAATTTTTGATGATGTGGAAATGAAAATTTCATTATTGATCAAGGAAAATGCATTTTTCAAAGTGCAATTTGAAGTGATGAAAAATGATAAATTTGTAAACCGAAAATAATTTTCATAAATAAGTTCAATATTAATACTCGGGGGGTTTTTGGGGTCACTGAACATGAATATTATGACTGCAATGTTCTTCGAGGCATCTGGTGCACCTGGGTCTCGTCTCCTGAAGTTTTTTTTTTAATTTCGATACAAAATCAGTGCAAAATCTTTACTTATCAGTGATTTTTGTGGGCGTTGAACGCTAATATCATGTCATCGATGCTGTGCGAGGCACCTGGTGTCCAGAACGGGCCTCTATTTTTGAAGTTTTGTGTAAATTCGATACAAAAGCAATGCAAACTTGTTAGGTACACGGGGATTTTGACATCGCTGAACACTAATATCATGTCGTCGATGGTATCCAAGGAAAATTGTGCTTATAAGAAGGCTGGAGGCTGATTCTTGGAGTTCGTGTATTGAAAACCAGTACTGTTATGATATTCGTAAATAGCGACCCCTAATATCCCTGAGTAACGAGTTTGCACTGATTTTGTATCAAATGCCCACGACACTCCAGGAGACCGTGCCCATGTGCAGCAGGTACCTTGGAAATCGTCGCCGTCATGATATTATTCTTCAGTGATCCCAAAAACCCCCGGTTAGTAATATTGAACTTATTCCAGCAAATTATTTACGGATTAAAAATGTATTATTTTTCATTACTTAGTGTTTAAAACGCAGTTTTGTTGTTCAATAATGCAATTTTCATTTCCACATCATCATTTTCGTTCACAAAATTTTCTGGTACTCATATGAATCGAATGCAAAAAGTTTCATTGATATCCGTCCTACTGCAAACATTTGGTAGGTTTTGGGCTTTTTACTGCTTCATTACCACACCTACTGCTGCAATCCAATGAAACGTAAATTGTAGCGTAGGTGGCTTGCTTATCAAAGCACGTTAGTTCGGCTTATACTACCCGTTTCGAAAAATGTCAAACAATGCAATATTTTCTGTTAAGTATACTTGGGATTTTCTTAGGAAATACACATGCTATAATCTGCTCTGCACTAATGAGCACCATCAGTGAAGCACAATTGCATCACCCTGATCGGAAAGAAAGTATATAATTATACATGTATAGTTCTATATTTTATATTGATTAATAGTATGTGTAAATGCAAATGTACTCCCCTGAACCTAATCCAGGCAGCAGCCATATTCTTTATATCTGTATATCGTTGCTGTAGATTAATTACGTGGTTAGAGGTTTCATGATCAAAGCGACTAAAATATTACTAAAAATTCAGAATATTAATTTCCCATCTAACCATTCCATTTAATTAAGTATCTCTTGTGAAACTCGTGAGCGTCCTTTTTATAATTCCTTTTTGACCTTGTAAAGATCAAAATTTAAATATGAGAAGAACAACTTTTATATACTACAGACTTATATACTACATAATTAGTAAGGAAGACCAGTCTCTGTTGGCACCCCTAACAAAAACTGCCATCAAACTCCCTAATCAAATAGATAAAAGACTCTTTTTACCATGAAAAAGTTAGTAACACGTTATTCTTTGTAATAAAAGATTTTGACAAACAAAACAAAACTAAGACTTTACAGTCAAATTTGAAAAAATGTAAAGTATGCCATCCCGAATAGTCGGGTGTGATGGCATACTTTGTTTTTTATGGTTTATGTTGATTTCCAAATTAAATCTTTCAAAATAAATAAAACGAAACTGTAAAGAAACTCAAAAACTCTATTTAGTAGTTAAAAAAATATTTATATGCATAATTCACACTAAACACTTCAATTTTTCTCTCTCAACACCTGCTCATTCTGTATGACACCAACTGCTACACTTTTGACAAACAATCAGATTCATGGTCGGTTTCGTTCCTTTTGACTTCTTCGCTTTCATCAATTATTCTCTTCTTGTTTTCATTTTTCTTCCTAAGCATCTTCCGTCTTTCTTTCTCATCCTTTTCTGCCTGTGCAAGTTGTACTGCTGCAATAGCTGGTGAGTTGTTTAAAACACCTGTTTTCTCCCTTTTTTGTTTTTTTCTTATACTGATGCAGGCGCTTTAGGCATCGGCGATATTTGAAGGAGATATTTCTTAAATTTTGTCATTTTATTTTCGTCTTGTTTTGGAGAACTTGATTTATAACCTACTTTTGAAGAAGAGGCTGCCTCTTCAGCTGGTTCTTCAAGCTCAGTGACTATATTTTACAAGTCATTTTCCTCATTATTTACAATTTTGTAGTTTCAACAGCAGCGAAAACATAATCAGGAAATATATCCATGTTTAGCGGTTGAACTCCTGTGTTAGAAAAACTACTCAAAGCATTTTCTATTGTAGACACTTTTTTGTGTGCATTACAAAATAACTCCAGCACAACTTGGATTTGATCGCAACCACTTGTGAATTCCCTGATCGTAATTAATGGTTAAAGACCCATAAGCGCTTACGTCCAATGGTTTTACACTATGGGTGCTATGAGACGGAAGGCAAAATAGAATAATACCATTTTTTTTTTTAAATTGCAATACATCTAAGTTCTTATAACTTGCACGCCCATCAACTAAAATAGTAACTTTGAGGTCAATGATAGTTTCACGAAATCTCTAAAATGTATGAGCCATTTTAGAAACAAATCTTCAATAACCCATCCATTTTCTTGGCACAATCCTAAGCACACTGGCAAAGCGTAGGCAAAGAGATTTTGTTCCAGTTTTTTCCATTGATATTTAATACCGGGAGGAGGAAATGTACCAATCACATTCATTGCACAAATCACTGTAAAATGAATACCTCTCCCCGCAATTGACAATATGCCAACCTGCTTGAAGTGAATATATTTGCAGATCTGGAATGTATGGTAGAGAAGCCACATCTATCCACATTCCAGATTTGGTTTGGAGACAGATTATTGTCGTCAATAATCGTGGTCAACGTTGAAAAAATTTCATAATGCTAATGAAGGTTTTTCTGGTAGTCGCAAACTTATAGAGGGATTTCTTTTTAAAAATCCGTATACCCAATCCCATTCTGTTAATTTCTTCATCGTATTAAAAGAATGTGGTAAATTGTTGGACTCTCTGTTATTTCAAATGTCAGTCTACGATGTTCTACGATGTTTAAACAAAAAAAAACAACTTCAAGATCTCTTAAATGGACTACCAGCATTTCTTCAAACTCCTTGCTAAATGTAGGACACTTACCATCCAAATTATCTTTACTGAAATATGCAGCAAAACGATTTTTCTCGTGAAATTTTCTCTGTAATGTTCTTGCAGAGACATTGTAAGTTTTTGCAGCACGTTTCTAACCCATATGTTTGTTTCTTCTTACTTCTTCCAAAACAGATTTCATATCATCTTCTTGCCAAGATTATCTTCTTTTATTTATCAAATATCAAATAGCCCACTTCTAAAATAAAATATATATGAGAATGCTGCATTTGTCTATGATAGCACCATTAGCACCCTATGCCAACAAAGCCGGACGTTTAAGGTGCCATCATTGCCTAATACGCAACGAAGCAAACAAACTTTTTTTACATAACCAAATTCTAACCTTACTTATTTCTGACTTTAATGGCACGCGTATAAGGCATGTTTCTTAAAGCGTCCCCTAGACGATAAATTCCGCAATATTGAAAATTGTGCAATATAATTAATCGTCTACTGCTAATATTGAAGATTGCCTAATGAATAAACGTAAGTTTGATAGAGCTTAATTTTTATTGTGTCATATTTCTCCATTGCATCGAAAACATTGCTTAGCAATGTTGCAATTGTTAGCAATTGTGCAAGCGCACAATTCAATCTTATTGTACAATAAATGTATTAGACAATAGGTACTATTGTAGGTCTAGAGGCCGCCTAGCATATAAATTAATACAATAAAATTGTTAAACGAATATAAGTATTACAATTATTACGTACCTATTAATGATGAATCAGCACCCACAAAGTTTTTAAAACATCTTTATTTTGATAACCCAGCTTAGTTTAACGTTGCCGTCGAATACAGTGACGTTTACGCATTTATGCAGTACAGTGTAAAGTTTGCACATTATATTATAGACGCGTTCAGGAGATATTTTTAGGGTGTCATCATACCCACGATGCCATCACAGACTGGTCTTCCCTTTATACCAATTTAAAAGGCAAAATAATAAATGGCTTAAAATGATTATCGTCATAATTTAGTTTTACCTTGTTAACATCTAAATTTTAAAACTTATCCCACTATTTTTATTTATTTTATTGAAAGAAATTTAAATCTTGTGAAAAATGCTTCACTATAACTATTTAGTTACGATATTTGCTTTATATAACAATAAATATAACAATTAAAATGTTAACTCTTTTTGAAAATACTATAGTAAATTCTACGAGAACAATTCTGGGACAATCAGTATTATGTCAAATACACAAAAGGAAAATTAATACAATGCATGTAATCTGTATTTTCCAGTTTGCGGAAGTTCCACCAACTTAGATCTGCCCTCAGCTCGAATAGTGGGCGGAGAAAAAGCATCTTCCTCGCAGTGGCCAAGTCTTGCGCTCCTTTATAACAAAAAGAGCAATATTTACTGCACCTCAACTTTGGTTACACCTCTTTGGGCAGTAACAAGCTACTCCTGCGTAGTTGGACACACATCTCAACCCATCAACAACGATGAGTGGCTGCTTTACGCGGGAGGTACCAATAAAGGCGACAATTTTACTAGTCAGGTTAGGAAGTTGACGGAAATAGTAGTTCATCCACAAGTAAGTACAAAGTATTTCTTTTTATTTATTTTTAAAATTTTAACCATAATATTAATAGAAACATGTTCAAAATTTATTTATAAATAAAGTATATTAAAAAATACTAATACATGATAATATAATCCTGTCAGTTTTTAGGTGTATTGACGAATAAACAAGTTTATCAGTAATAATAGGGTGTAATAATAATTACCAATAAGTAATGTATATAGATAGCGTTTAGTTATATGTTTTATATGTATGCATCGTTTAAAGAAATTATTTAGCTTACAGCTAAATCCCTATCAGGTATTATTTCTCTATAACTAAAGATTAAATTGTAAATAACCCTACTTTGCCAAACGCTGAGTTGTTCGGTGGCTGAAATACCATTGTACACAGTTTTCAACAACTATAGCGCTAAAACCGTAGATTACTGAGTTAGCAACGATCCTGTTCAAAGAATTTAATCATCTGTCAGGCGATTAGTTACACCAATAAAAAGAATTGTCATCTCAAATGTGTATGCGTCAGTTCCTCATAGCTTGTTGAAGTAACTTTAAAATATTTGGGTCTTCAGCTCCTGTCAAGTTTCTTTCATCACAGCTGGAATTCAAGGTGATAAGTACAGTTACATCCTATCCTTCAGCAGACAAATGAATAGCATTCTACCATCTAAAGATTATGAGTTTCACATCTCTCTATTATGTCTTTTGACAACAATGGTTATCAAGCGTTCCTGTCAATCGACAAAATAGAATGTTTCAAATGTAATTAAACTGGACACAAACCTACTAATTGATCCAAGGACCAAAAAACTTAACAACTCCCTGCTACCCAATCCTCACAAACCGATAATCCTACAAAAGAAGATTCAACACACTTATGTCAACTACACGAAAAAACGGTATTTCCCTAGTTCAACTGACTCAAATATTGTTCAATTTTGTCCTGAAAATTGTCCAATTTTAGGAACCAACACCCCACCTTAAATAAAACCTCTTAAAAAGAAATCAAAAACAGACACTTGTTCAAAACAGACCAAGATATCTGATAATTGAAAAACTGTTATTCAAAAGCTCCCCAAATAATTTCTCTATTTCTGCCAATAATTTTGTAGACTTGAAATTGAAAACTCAATTGACAACCATAATCCTTCTGAACAGGCTTTGGAGTTTATGACTAATATAACTGCGGCATTTAGAAATAAACTATACTTCCTATAATATCTGAATGGTTGTGTACAAACAGAATTAGAGGAAAGGCACCGAATTCGAGACAGGCGCCTAATTTGAGACACCGTCGTATATTTGTGTGTATAGGGTGACATCTAGTGAAAATATTGAAAACTGATTATTCTGTGCAGTAGTGGTACATCTGCTTTTAGTTGACGCTTAGAAGTGACCTTTGTTGTTTTGTCGAAGTTAATTAATTTTACATATTACATAAATTTTTTTCGGAATTTATAAAAACTAACCATACATCAAGGTAAGATGATTACATTTACTCCAATTATTTTTTTTGTTAGTTTAATATTAGTTAATACAATTTATGCAAATTAAACGGTAATTGTGTGGCATACATAACCAACAAAAATGCATTTTATTTTTAACGGAAAAATCATAATTTGAGATACCTGTAGGTTCCAAATTTGAGAGTGTCTCAAATTAGGACCACGTATAAAATTTTTATTTTTATGTGTTTTTTTGTTTGTAGATGCCGCCAAAAAAATAAAAAATGGAACGCAAATGATATGATATGGGCTGTAAATACAATAAGAAATAGAGAGATGGGCTATTTGAAGGCCTCAAAAGTTTTTGGAGTATCAAAATGTACCTTAGAACGATATGTGAAATCAGATAGGACTCCAGAAGAACTCATCGAGCTATTAATTGGCCTCCGACCTATTCTTCCTTTGGAAATAAAAAATGAGTTGGTTGAGTATACCCTAACTATGGAGCAACGTTATTTTGGGCTAAAAGCGCGTAATATAAATAAAACGACTGGGATTTCAACTTGCAAATATAAATATATAAATACTTGCAAAAGAACTAGTACCCCAGCTAAACTTGGATTATGTATTTGCTCCAGAAAAAAACAGTTCAACAAAAGGTATTAGATAAAAAAACAGCAACATCCGAAGACGTACGTCAACCTTCTACATCAAAAAGCAAAACAACAAGAAGGAAGCAGAAAGTTTCTTCGAGTTCCACCTCAGATAGCAATTCAGACTTTCCATTAACTGATTCATCGTCCACCGAAAGTGGAGAAAATGACGCGGAATGTTTATTTTGCACCGGCAAAATGGCGAATATCTATATGGCGAATGATGGGCAAAGTGTTACCAATGTGGCAGGTGGGCACATGAAGACTGTGGAGAAATAAAGTCCAGCACATTTTTTGCCTTTTCTGCGAAGGAAAGGGCTTTTTTGAATAGTATCTCAAATTAAGGTACCTATCTCAAATTTAGATACCTGACTATCCCAAATTAGGGCACCTTTTATTTTTAATATTAAATTTCACAAAAAAATTAAATGTATTTTTTGCAAAAATATATGTGTGTTTTTATTGTGTTCTAGAAACATTGAATTTAAGTTTTCGAAATAAATGTTTTAAAACTTTTGAATATTTTGTTTTATATTTGTTTTTCAAAAAAAGTGTCTCAAATTTGGTGCCTTTCCTCTACTTGTTTATTAACAAAACTAAAAACTAGCCTCGTGCCAGGATCTGATGAGTCAGGAACCCTTGCATCAATCAGTTTGCAGAATCTACGGACGAAGACGACGCACCAGACAACATACAGTTATCACAGCAAACATTAATACAATGCAACTGTGATGGTTTCTACCCTATCATCGAATGCATCGAACGTTAACAACTGAAACGCAACCTGACAGGGAGCACTATGTAGGATATGACAACTTACGACATAATTATCTTATAGAAAGCGGTGGATTCTCATTTTATATCAAATTATCTCTACCCACAAGAATTTTCCAAATTTTCAAGTTGTTTAGAGATGCATTACCTCTATTTGGCGCCACTACCTCTATTTGGCGTCCCAATAAAATATCTTTTGTTTTTAACTTTTCCGTTTATTATATCTAACAAATTTAAACATTATTTTGTCAGCGTAACTATAGGAGATTGAAACAAGCTACCTAAAACAGCGTCCGTATAAATGTTGAAAATGTTGTCCACTAACTGCAACTAAAAACAATAAAAAAAATGCAATTTTACATTCTGCTCTCCAGTATCAAAATCACTTAGTGATCAACATGAAATAGCTAAAATCATAGCCATTAATTTGTACATAAAGTTTGATACTAAAACAGGGGGTGTTTCAGGGTTTCCCTTTAAAAAATTGGGCATTTATGTATAATAACGGTAATAAGGAAACATAAAATCTAATAGTCAACAAATCGTTGTTTATTAATAAATATGGTAAAACTAAGGAAGTAAAGAATCTAAACTGAATAAACTAAAATAAATATTTTTCTGAAGCTATTTTCTTGTGCCATCTTATATAATTTACTATTTTTGATTTCCGAAGTGAAAATCGAACGTCAGTAAAATTATGGCTCATTCCCAACAAAAATAGTAAATTGCTTTAACTAAAATAAACTTTGGCTAGTATAATTATTATATTTCTTGCTATAAAAACTACAAATTAATTTATTTATTTTTAGACGAAATTCTCAAATTTTGGTTTTAAGAATGATGCCGTTTTGCTCAAGTTAAGAAAACCAGTACATATCAATATAAATGTTAGTTCTGTTTGTTTACCAAATAGTGAAATAGAACCAAGACAGTTGTGTGTTGTAGCTGGATGGGGCATCAATAAACCAGGAGGTAAGAAAGGTTCAGAATATATCTGGCGGTAGGTCTTTATCCAAATATTTCCACTGTGTTGATTCTGATATCCTGATTGCTGCTTTTTTCATAGTATTTCTCTTCATTGAAATTATGAAACGAAGAATTTTGTATATCTCTTTTCTTGGTAAATATGTTTCATAACTTATTTCACTTGTAATATGTTTTGATTTGTTTTGTATTATAGAGGTGATATGGTCAGTCAAATTTTAAGTTATTCTAGTTGTTAGCATTGCTTTCTACACATTCAAGTCTTCTCTTAAGTATGAGAAACCGTTTGTTTGCAAGTATCAAACTTTCCTAGAATTGAATTGAAGGCATAATTGAACAAAACTGCCTTCTTTCTCGTTTTTTGACCCAAGACATAGTTTTCAATAATATTTGAAATTCTATCATTCCCACTTTCCCAAAATTGAAGTTATTCATAATTAATTTTTTGTTAATTGCACCCATTATTCGATTTTACATAAGATGTTCTTAATTCATTTGCAGTCTTCTTTTCAGTAGAGACCTAAATAAATTTTACATCGTGAGAATTAGATTTGATTTTTAGTATAGTCAGTCAGTCTGATAAGTGTACAAAATTATTTATGCATTTTTTCTCGGTGATTCTCTTTTGGTTCTTTGGTCCCAGTTCATTTTACTTCTGTAACTCCGAGAATATTTAATATCATTCTATTCATTTCTTTCATGAAGTTATGTGATTTCCCTGCCATGAAAAGTAATTTAGCGTTCCAGCTTCCTACTCTCAATAGTATCCTTTTCTCTTCGTCTTTTATCTTTCACGTTGAGGTGTTTTCTAGTAGGTACCTAATCCTTGTGCAGAGTCTCCTTGCTTTTGACTATTAAGAGCTGCTACGGACTAAGAACCTTAGGCTTTATAAAACTCAACAATTAAATAACTTCCTCAGTGTGTAATCTCCGATTTTGTTACTACTTATTTGTTCCAAATGTTGACAAACATCAAGTCTACGCTTATTTTGGATATTGCTGTTCTAAACAAACGGTTATTGGTAATGTTGAAATATTAGCGCAAATTTTTTAATTTTCTGCTTCCTATTGACTCTATTCCATTTAACTTTCCGTGAACTATTAATGGAAGTAATTCATGTTTATCTCCCCTTATGTGTCCCAAGTAGAACAATTTTCTCTTTTTAATAAGTCAGTACAAATGTATTCTTTTTTTTTTTTTTTGTTCGTCCTAACAGTGTTGCAATTCTGATTCTGTTCCCATGAAACTCATAATATTCTGCGATACACTCAGAACTCAAAAGATTGTGTTTTCTTTTTACATTATTCTTTTTTAGTGTCCTTCAATAATTCATGAGCCATACTTTTAGTTTCAAACCGAGATTTCGACTATAAAATACTTGATTCATTTTCAAAAGGGTTTTGGGCTTTCCCAATTTGGGTGTTTATTTCATGAAAACTGTCAATTATATCATTAAAAGGAGTGCCTAAATAATTGTACTTTCTCATTCTTTTAATTGATTAATTCTACTACTGCATTCATTTATAATTTTTCGTTATATTTTTTAACTCTGACGAACGCATCTCTATATTTCTAGATCTTCAGTTATCTTTTTTATCTGAACTGAATTGGCTAAATTGGCTGCGTTTTCTCAGTACCACTTTTAGTCTGATAAAAGTCCTCAGTGATAGTCTAGAAATGTATCACTGGCATCCATTACAAGATTAAAACTAGTTTGTGCACCGGCGACTTGTACTAGCACAATCTACTATAATCTTGCTCTTTAGAGTGCAACCTTTTTTAAATAATATTTTATGTACCTTACCTAAGCTAACCCTAAGTTTTCCGTTACTGTTAAAGAAATTAGACGTACTTGATATAGTAGTTAAAAAACTAGAATAATTTTCTAAATTTTTAGAGCCCACTATACAGCAATATCTGCATTACCTCCCAGTCCCATTGATAGATACAAATGAGTGTAATTCAACTAAACATTACAATGGAAAAGTTACAGACGACAAAATATGTGCAGGATACATAGATTCTGACAAAACACCGTGTTTTGTAAGTATATTTTATAATTTTATTAATAAGATTTTACGTCCAATGATGAATTTTACGTCCAATAAATGCATTCTAGCAAAATTGATTATTTATTCTTTTTTATTTTTTTTATGCAAAATGTATTTTATTTGTTAAAAATAGAATTATTTTTATACATACAAGGTTATTAGCGGTGGTGCAATATAGACTATAATAATATAATAAGGATTAATATATAAATTATAAACTATAAAGTTTTTACAAAGTTGATTATAATTGGATGGTCTCATGCCAGAGTGAACCAAAAGCCGAAATTGAAAATTTTCAGTACGACAGTTTAAAGTTATGAAGGTGTTATAAAATATACGCAATATGTTATAATCTCTTATAGGATATAAAAGATTCTAAGACTATTCAAAAGAACATTTCTTTAAGACTTTTAGTAACAGCACATGATTTTGTCTACTTTTAAAGCTGTTTGGTCAGCATTTGCAGTACATGGTTCACTTTGGCAAACTTTTTAGCACTTAGTTCTGTCTGGCATGAGAAGTATAAATAAATTGTTCTTTTTGTTTGTAATCAAGTTTATTAATACATCATTAAAACTAACAATACAAAAGAATTAAATTTTCAAGAATTATGAGTAATTAAATTATACAAATGTGTAAAAAAACTAATAGTAGCAATATTTAGATCGCATTGTTCATCTCATTTTCCTCTTCATTGTTATTGTCATTCTCTTCTTCAATGTCATCTTCCAATACTTCACTTTGTTGAAGTTTATTGTAAAATTGGTGATGGCATGGTGGTACGAATTGCAAAAGTGATCTGATATCATTAAGTTTTGCTTGACTTAATTTTCTTCCTTCGGGGTAAAGAATGCTTAAGTTTAAAGAAGCTAGGTTTACAGGTCGGCCTTTCAATCCCTTATTTAGATTTACTGAATAAAATTGTATTTCTTTGTTATGTGTATATTTAAATTCCATAACTCCTGGATGGTCTTGAGTAAATTTCATTTTTGTTTTATTTTTAACCATTCTACTTTTTGTTCATCTGAGTCTTTTTTGCGGTTTACCAGATTTTGTTTTAATGCATCCATACTCTTGAAATCCTCTTTTTCCATGCATACTACTTCAAATTTGAAATTATGTTATGCAATTGTGTAGGCACATAAATTTCAGGATGATATTTCAACTTTTTTTCTATATCACCAAAATCGCTATCGTTTTGTAGATATGAATGTCCTGGCTCAGCAAACTTATGAACTACTTCCTTTATGTTTAAAGTAGGGGACTGCACTATGTACATCCATAACGCGGCAATATTAATGTTGCGGTTTTGACCGCCACATGAGTCAGACCATGCAATCAATATGTCCTTATGATCATGGGTATTTATGAATTTTAAAATACATGATCCTATTTCCTGGGAACCTCGTGAGGCAGTGCTCTCATCCCAAACATGCATTGTCCCGACATTATTTTCAAAATTATGTATACCAAGATTGTAGCATGAAAGCTGCCTCTTATAGTAAACAACTCCTGTAGTTAGTTTAGGAAGAAGCATTACTTTCTGAAGATCAAAACTAATTACTGTAGCTTTCCCTTCTTTACTAATCTTAACGTCTTCATTTATTTCTGAGCGAGCTAACTGTACTTTTCTGTGGTGTAGTTCCTGGTTTAGTTTCTTAGTCTTTAACATTGCTTCATCTTTGTTTTCCTCAGCTGCCTTTATTTCAATGTTCAACCTGTCACATGTTTGACAGGTATCTTTTCGTGGAGATTTAAAACTAAGATTAAAATCACGTCTGAACACTTTTTCATAAAGCGATTGGCTTGGAACTTTGTCAACATTTCTCTCTCTTAAACTATCAACATAGAGTCTGTACATTAATGACAAATTTAAATTACAATCCAAGTATTTTTTTTGGGATTGAGTTTACAGTAATGACTTACTATGGTAGGGAAACTTTGTATATGATTTTTTATTGACTCCATTGTGAACGGTGAAGATTTGTTATGAGGCACTTTTTTCCCTCTAAGATCACTTAAATTTCCACTTTTTTTCTTAAGCAAAGCACGATGTACTCTACTACTATTGATTTGTAATATTCCCATAAACATTTTTTTGCATACTTTAATATCTCCGTTTTCAGAAGGCCATTGACGATTGCCTGTTTTTTTTGAAATATCAGTGTTCTTACGACGTCTTATTATCGTTCTACATTTTACAGCACCACTTATTATGCTTGTTTGAGTTTCCCAAGACTGTGACTCGTTATAAAACAAATTAAAAAAACTTTCTTTTTGCTGTGCTGTAAGCTTATTTTGGCAGTTTATTTTGCAATTGCAGGAATAGTCATTAAAAGATTTAGAGTGTATGACAGTACCTGAAGTATTGATATATTCTTTACCAGCTGCCCTTTTTTGCTTGCGAATATTTTTTTTCCACTTCTTAGGATCAGATTTTCTCTTCTTGTCTTGAGGTTCTTCCTGCGCTCTGGTATTTTTTTCATCTGTAAAAACACAAAAATATTAATATTTTATATAAGTAAATATTTTACATTACTTTTTTATGTTATAACATAAAAATACTTTGAAACACATATTCACTATGCATAAGACAGACAATTTACGTTCTCTTTTGCCAAAGTGAACTATGTGATTTTAATTTTTTTTACAATTCCAATATAAATTAATGGAATATATTGCTACATTCTTATATAGATAGGTAAATACTATGTTCTTAGGTTGGTATAACTGCTCATATTTCACTAGCACTCCCAGTGGACCACATGGTTCACTTTGGCAAAAGAAACGTTCCAAAACATAACCAAACTTTGATAATGAAGTTTTATGGCAATAAATATTATTATCTTACCTGATTCTGTAATATCCGAATCATAACTTGGATGGTAATCATCTGAAGACCCATTACTGAAATCAGCGTGTTCATCTTCACTAGAATTTCTATCAACAATGTCATGACGATGTGAACTATGCGCACGGGAAGCCATCTTGGACTGGATGATGGTTCACTGTGGCATATGACTACAAGTACTACCACCCTTTTGCTAAATAGAATTTACTAATTTCCAGCTGATGTTTTCTGTTATTCACATAGTTCGTTTTGGCATAAGTTTAGAACAAAAGTTTGCCTCATAATGGAAATGAAAAAGTTAAAACAAATAAAATGCACATAGTTCACTCTGGCATGAGACCATCCAATTTAGAATTTTTCTTGTATCACTTATATTTGATTATACAATTTCGTTTTCTAACCTAATATATATATATATATATATATATATATATATATATATATATATATATACAGTATAGGTAAAAGTTTATGGTCGGTATGGACCTTACATGAGATGGAGTGAGAAACAACTGTTTAAAAAGAGAGAGATAGAGAGATAGAGAGATAGAGAGAGTGGATATAATAAAAAGGGGAAATTCAATGTTGCCAAACTTATTGGTTTTATTTGACCTGTTGTCTTTTTCGCATTTGAACAATGCTCCAAGATAATGAAATTTGGGCAAAATGGATTTAAATGGCAGCTTATTGTTTTTTATTGGGAATATGTCACAATTTTACTTTACAATAAGTGTAATATATCATTTTGATTTATACTTCGGAAATCGTTTTATATAAATAAAATTTAATAATGTTTGGTATTTTAAAAACGATTTCCGAATTAAAAATCTAAACATCAAAATAAGCTTATTTTAAAGTGACATTATGCCTTATTTCCAATAAAAATATTAAACTGCATATAAATAAAAAAGCTTCGTACAAAACTATTTGCCAACGTGGCGTGTCGCGTGGTCAAATCACCGAATCAAGGGGTACACAGGTATTTACGAATAGAGGTGGGTCATTAACGTCGCAAAACCGATTTTCGTAAACAAGTAACTATGATTTTTTAATAGTAGTTTCAAGTAAGAAACTACCTACATAAACAAACATAATGGCTATTATCGTTTATGTGTATATTTATTGAAGTGAAGGAAACTAATAAAAGATTTTATTATAATTTGAAAACTAAACTAAACAATACAAATAGTAAATCGTACCTACGTTTACATTACACGTTATTATTGAATCACGAATCGCCTAAATTGACATTTAAAAACATAAGTTTTTGTACTTTACTTCTTATTAACCGTGTTTTTCTTTTATTTAAAATTAAACCTGATTTTGTACATGTGTTCACATTTACAATACTTTATGAATATAGTGGTTAAGTTAGGAGATACATGGCGATGGTTTTTCCACCATTGTAATGGACTCTCGCTACAGGTGTACGTTTAGATGAGTCATGTCCAATTAATTGATCAAAAATACACCGTGGACTTAAGTCATCTTTATCGGTTTCTTTTTCTTATACTGGTTGATTTTCAATAGTATAATCTTGTTCTTTAATTATAGAAGTAACCAGCTTCTTAACTCTTTCTTTTGTTTTTTTAGCGTCATTTTTATCAGAAAATCCCTGCACTTTAAATCGTGAATCCATAAACGTACATAATGACAATATGCCACTGTATTCTATCCCTCTAAATCTTTTTGCTAAAAAAGAGATTAGTAATTATCCCGTAATTAGTAATAAAAACCCGTACTACGTCGGATACTATGGATGTAAGGTTACTGTTTGCTAAAATTTAATTGCAAGATTTTTGCAGGCAGGGTACCAGAACAATCACTGAACTATCATTCAAGTATTTTTGGCCACTCATTGTACTTGTTATTTCTTTAAAAGACCGTAAAATTTGGGACAATTACGAAAAAATAATCTAGTCTTCATTATTTAGATTTGGTCTAAGTCTAAGTCTGTATTATTTAATACCGATGTGGAACGGAAATACACGCCAGTACACCGAAAATATCAAAATACAGAGAGGAGTCCGCCAGGGTTGCGTGCTGTCCCCACTACTTTTCAATGTCTACAGTGATCGGTATTTTAAGAAGCGCTCTCAGACTCAATAGAAGGTATATCTATCAATGGAGAAGTTTTGAAT